TCAGGAACTCTCAACCTTGGAATGACCCATAGGGTGCTGCCTGAAAAAAATCTCCCCATTTTGGCTAGGAAGCTATATTCTAGGATCATGTTTTTTAGGGAATTCAAAATCTCTCCCCCATCTCTTCCAAATGGGAGCTGGGTTTTTTAGAAGTATTACCTATGAATTATTCTTTCAGGTCACATGCAAGTATATGCCCACGTGCTTTTGCACAAATTATCATCATTTGGTCCTGGAGGTGATAAAAGGAAAAACTTCCTTCCTCCTTTCTTCCTTCTTCCCTCCCCCACTTAAAGAAGAAAAGATGGAGTCTTGAAGAGAGTAAAGGAGAGAAAGAGAGACAAAAAGAGGCAGAGAGAGATAGAACGGGGGAGTGGGGGAAAGAGAGAAAGAGTGAGCAAGTGAAAGAGAGGAAAAAGGGGGGAGAGAGAGGAGAGAGAGAGGAAAGAGGAGCAAAGGAGAGGAAAGAGAGAGTGAGAGAGCAGCTACTTTAACAAGAATCCATCCCCAAGTTCCACTCAGCCAATCATCTCTTTTTTAAAATTAAATTTTATTTTTTTCAATTGTCAAGAATTTTCTTCTATCCCACCTCTTCCATATTGAAAAAAGAGAAAAACAAAGCCCTTGTAATATATATGCACAGTCAAGCAAAACAAATTCCCATCTTGGCCATAAATGTATGTCTCATTTGGCATCATGAGTCCATCACCTCTCTGTCAGAAGATGGGTAGCAAGCTTCATCATCATTTCTCTCAAATCAAGTTTGATCATTGTATTGATCAACATTCTTAAGTCTTTCAAAGTTGTTCATCTTTACGATGTTGTTATAGTATAAATCGTCCTGGTTTATCTCACTTGACTCTGAATCATACAAGCCTTCCTAGATTTCACTGAAATTGTCTCTTTCATCATTTATTACAGCACAAAAGTATTCCATTCTATTCATGTGCCATAACTTGTTCAGCCATTTCCCAGTGGATGGGCATCACCTTAGCTTCCAGTTCTTTGTCACCACGAAAAAGGCTGCTATAAATATTAAATATTTTCCTACATGTAACATCTTTTCTTCTTTCTTTCTTCTCTTTGGAGCAAAGACCTAGTAGTGGTCTCCTAGCCAATAATTTTGGCAGTGCCCGTAGTAATCTGCATCTAAGTAGGTTGCTAGTCAGCATACCCACTTGCTATGAGAGGGTGCTTCTCAGCTGCTTACAAATCTATTTGCCTGTCTTTTTTTGAGGCTTCTAACAAGTATTTATTAAGGTTATACTATATGCCAGGAAGGCATTGGGTTAGGTTCTAAAGTACAAAGACAAAAATGAAACAGTTCTGCCTTTTAAGAAGCTTGCATTCTATTGATATTGATTAGCGTAATATACAACATTATATGATAAGTGAATTTATTAGTTAAAAAACAAAGTACTCAATAGATGGGCAAAGGTGGGGAGGAATGGGTGAGTATTCCAAAAGTAAGGAATAGTCTATGCTATTCAAAGTCTATGCTAAGCAAAGGTCATGGGGTGAGAGCACACGGAGAATGTTCAGGGTATGGAGGATTGTCTAATCTGTCTGGAATGTGGAGTGGAGCAATAGAAGATAAACCTGGAAAAGCAAAGTGCTGCCAGATTACAGTGATCCTTGAATCCCTGGCAAAGGAACTTGAATGTTTTTTTTTAATATCATTAAACATTATTCATGGAGCTCTAACAATACCCAGCTTCAGGCTCCATATGAGATAGACACATCTTTTTTTTTTTCCACTGTCATCTAAGGCCTTTTTATAGCCCCAGTTGTCATATGAGTACATGGAGCCCACTTGCACAGAGTCAGTTAGGAAGGCTGATCTTGCTCTCTGGGAGACTGCCACCTGAGAGAGATGCACTGTCCTAGATAAGAGGGAGAAGAGCTACGAACAATTGAATAATGAATGCTGAACAACCACTTAATTTAGGGCGAGTGTTTACATTTTATATAACAGAAAGCTCAGTGGGGCAAGAGTAAATAAAAGGAGAATGCAGGAGCTTAAAATTTAGTTAGACTGGGATTGGGACCAGTGACAGAATAACTTCAAAGGATTCTAAGACTAGAAGGCATCTCAGTATGTAGAATGATGGAGCTAAACAAGACTTTACAATAGAGAAGCTGGAACACTGTCAAATTATAGAATATAGATGTAATGGAGAACTATTGTGTCATAAGAAATGGAGATGGAAGAAACAGAAGTAGGGAGGAAGGGAAGAAGGGAGGAAGAGAAGGATGAAAAGAAGGAAAGAAGAAAGGGAGGGAGGGAGGAAAAAAGAGGGAAGAAGGAAGGAGGCGAGGGGAGGAAAGAAAAAGGAAGGGAGGGGAGCAAAGGAAAAGGAGGGAAAAGAGAGAAAGGAGAAAAAAGAGAAGAGAGGAAAGAAAAGAAGGACGATAGGAAGGGAGAGAAAAGAAGGAAGGAAGAAAAAAGGAAGAGAGAGAAGAAAAGAAAAAAGAAAGAAGGGCAGGTAGGTAGGAATGAAGAAAGTAGAAAAGAAGGGAAAAATAAAGAAAGGAAGGAAGAAAGGAAGGAAATAAGGAAGAAAGAAAGAATAAGAATGAAAGAAAGAGAAGGAAGTAAGGAGAAGGAAGGAAAATAAAGAGAGAGAGGAGGGAAAAGAGGAGGGAGGAAAGAAAAGGAAGGAAGTTAGAGAGGAAGGAGAAAAATGAGGAAGGAAAGAAAAAAGAAAGGAAAGGGAAAGAAAAAAAAAGAAAGAAGGGAAGGAAGGAAAGTAAGAATGAAGAGAGGAGGAAAAAAGAGAAGGGAAGAAAGAAAAAAGGAAAGGAAGGAAGAAAAGAAGGAAGGAAGGACCTTTGTATGATATAAGCATAGTCAAGCAAAACAAATTCCCACAGTGGCCTCATCTAAACCTGTGTTTCTTATTTTGCACGTTAGTCTGTCGTGTCTCTGTCACAAGGTGGACAGTATTCTTCATCAATCCTGTGGAAGTATGGCTGATTATTTAATTCTGCAGAGTTTGCAAGTCTTTCAATATTGCCTGTTTTCACAATCTTGATGTTACACGATAAACTCTTCCGCTCACTTAATTCCACATCAGTTCCCAGGTTTCTCTGAAACTGTCTCTTTCTTCATTTCCTAAAGTACCATAATATTCCATTACATTGGTAAACCATAATCTGTTCAAGTTGAGCCACACTAAAATTGATGGGTACTCCTTCATTTCTACTCTTCAAACATTCCATCACTGGTCCTGCTATTGTAGCCCCTCTACTTTGGTAGTATGTACTGGACCTTGCATTCCATTGGCATGGTTTTGGGTGCAGTAGGGTCAGTGGGGGCAGCTTGGTGGCACAATGGATAGAGCACCAGGCCTGGAGTTAGGAAGACCTGAATTCAAATCTGCTCTCAGACATTTACTAGCTATATGACCCTGGGCAAGTCACTTCACCCTGTCAGCCTCAGTTTCCTCATCTATAAAATGAGCTGGAGAAGGAAATGACAAACCACTCTAGGCTCTTTGCCAAGAAAACTCGCAAAGGGGTCACAAAGAGTCAGACATGACTGAAACAACTGAGCAACAACAAGGGAGCCAATCCTAAACCGTGATGAGGCACTGGAGAAGTACTTTAATAGAGAAATACCTGTTTTTTCAAAAGTCCTGTTTAAAGACTAGGCCTCTCTTCATTTCTAAAATATATAGAGAATTAAGACAAATTTATAAGAACACAGGCCATTCCCCAATTGATAAATGGTCAAAGGATATGAACAGACAGTTCTCAGATGAAGAAATTAAAGCCATCTGTAGTCATATGAAAAAATGCTCTAAATCGTTATTGATTAGAGAAATGCAAATCAAAACAACTCTGAGGTACCACATCACACCTATCAGATTGGCCAACATGACAAAACAGGAAAATGATAAATGTTGGAGAAGATACGGGAAAATTGGAACACTAATACATTGTTGGTGGAGTTGTGAAATGATCCAACCATTTTGGAGAACAATTTGGAACTATGCCCAAAGGGCTACAAAAATGTGCACACCCTTTGATCCAGCAATAGCACTTCTAGGGCTATATCCCAAAGAGATCATAAAAATGGGAAAAGGACCCACATGTACAAAAATATTCATAGCAGCTCTTTTTGTGGTGGCAAAGAATTGGAAATTGAGAGGATGCCCATCAATTGGGGAATGGCTGAGCAAGTTGTGGTATATGAATGTAATGGAATACTATTGTGCTATAAGAAATGATGAACAGGCTGACTTCAGAAAAACCTGGAAAGACTTATATGGTCTGATGCTGAGTGAAGTGAGCAGAACCAAGAGGACTTTGTACACAATAACAGCCACGTTATGCAATGACTAAGATTGTTAAACTGAACCCTTCTCAGCATTACAAGGATCTAAGACATCTCCAGAGGCCTCGGGATGGAAAATGCTATCCACATCCAAAGAAAGAACTATGGAAGTCGAATCGCTATCACTTATTTTTACCTTCTGTTGAGTTTTGTTTCATCTTTCTGATGGTTCCTCCTATTGGTTTTAATTTTTACTTACAACTTCACTGATGTGAAAATATGTTTAATGGGTATGTAAATGTAAAGCCTATATCAGATTGTGTGATGTCTTGGGGAGGGTGGGGGGGAGGAAAAGGGAGAAAAATTTTCAACTCAAAAGCATATAGAAAAAATAAAAAAAATTAAAAATAAAATAAAATAAAAAATTAAAAAAATAAAAAATAAAAAAAATAAAGACTAGGCCTCTCCCTAAGGAGTCTGTATCTTGAATTTGAATTCCAAAGATTCCAAACAGGCCTAGAACAGGAACTAAGTACATGATAATAGTAACAGCTAACATTTATACAGGAGGTCAAGGTTTGCAAAGTCATACAAACTGATTGCAAGCTATACAAATATTCTCTTATTTTAACCTCACAATAACTCTTGCATGTAAGTGTTGTTATTATCCTCATTTTACATGTCTGAACTCAAATTTGAACTCAGGTCTTTCTGATTCCAGGTCCTGAAATCTACCCTCCTACCTGCCTCTAACTTTAGGTACGTAACAAAGTGATAACAACTTTGACTGTTTGGATATGCTAAATCAGTTTGGAGGAGAATTTCAATTCCATTAAGAAGAAAATAAAAAATTAAATAATATAAAGTATTAATTATTTAACTGTTGATTAATTGAAAATGTATAACATAATAAGAAAATGTAATAAGAAAATTAAATAAAAAATTATCCTGGGCAGGTTTGGCATTTCAAGGTACAAAGACAGAGTCTCACACTCAGTAGGCCTATGACAACAGTAGAGAATATACTACTCACTTATACAGAAAAAAGTATACAGCCACATACTGTGTCCCATTCTTTGGTTCAGGGAAATAAAATTGCACATGCAACTACTATTAGGGAGTCAGTCCTATCTAGACACAGCTTAAACACCAGATGGCCCACAGATGTAAGGAGCTTATACTAAGGCAGACAAACAGAAGCCTCTAGATACAGCTAGATGGCGCCATGGTGCACAGAGCGCTGGACAAGGAGTCAGGAAGACCTGAAATCAAATTCGGCCTCAGACACTAGTGTGAACCTGAGCAAATTACTTGACCTTTCTAAGTCTTAGGCTCCTCATCTGTAAAATGGGCATAATAATAGCACCTACCTCCCAGGACTGTTGTAAGGATCAAATGAGATCGTATTTGTAAAGTTCGTTTTGCAAACCTTAAAGTGCTATGCCAATGCTAGTTATTATTACAAATGCTTTAGTCTTAGGGTAAACAGAGCTCAGATACCTTTGAATATACCCATCATGATTAGGTCAGATAAGGCTATTTGAGTCTTTTTGCACTCATGGATGTCCACCAAGTCACTGTGAGTGGAGGGTTCCAGTCTAACCAGCCTGAATCACCAATTAACCTTTCTTTAATATTTGAGGGAAAAAAATTCACACTTTTACATTCACACCTCTAAAATTCAAGTAATTAGCCAACAAAAAGCCCCAAAATTTAAGTGATAACAATTTCAATGGATTTAATATGAATATGATTATCTGGTATTTGCAATGGATTCCTACCATTGAACCGAAGGATTCTGACCAGGTCAATCACTAATTTCCAAGCAGGGATGAGAATTTAAGTTAGTAGCCTCTTTGCTAGGTCCAGTAAGGGAGTTTGCTGTTGAAAAGTCATGACCTCATCATAGGACAGTAGCTGATAAGGAGTTGTTTAACCGTAAAAATGAAGCCTCACAGAATGTCACACAAGATGAGCAGACATGGACAGACCGTGATATACAGATACCATTACATCTTGTTTTTTGCTTAACTGTACTTCTTTGTTACACAGAAAGGCTCTTTTGGGGTCTGGAGGAAGTCACTGGGAAATGACAGCAACAGTAAAAGTTATAAAAATACATTTGACCCAATAATTTCATTGCTGGAATTATGCCCAGATATTTTTTGAAGGAGTGTAAGATGTTCAAAGATTTTTATAGTTGCATTATTTATAACTGAAAGGAAAAAATGGGAGGTGTCTGAATTTTCTGCTATTGGGGAACGGTTAAATAAATGGTAGTATACTAATATAATGGAATATTATAGTGCAAATACAATAAACAAGTATGAGGAATGTAAATGACTGTGGAAAGACCTTTAAGAGATAATGCAGGGGCAGCTAGGTGGCACAGTGGATAGAGCTCCGGCCTTGGAGTCAAGAGGACCTGAGTTCAAATCCGGCCTCAGACACTTGACACTTACTAGCTGTGTGACCCTGGGCAAGTCACTTAACCCCAACTGCCTCACCAAAAAAAAAAAGCAAGAAAGCAAAAAAGGAAGGAAGGAAAGAAAGAAAGAAAGAAAGAAAGAAAGAAAGAAAGAAAGAAAGAAAGAAAGAAAGAAAGAAAGAAAGAAAGAAAGAAAAGAAAATGCAAAGTGTGTGGGGAATGTGGTGAAAAGGGGATCAGAACCAAAACAGAGCACCAAGTAACCATAACCACATAAAAGGAGAATTGAATAGGAATAAAGAACAAAATAGAAAGCTGGGGGAGAGTTACAGAAAGCAACGTAAGTTACCAATCAATAAGTCAATCAACACATATTTATTAAGTGCCTGTTACTTGCCTATTATCTAGGTTGGCACAGTGGATAGAGTACTGGGCCAGGAATCAGGGAAACCTGAGTTCAAATTCAGCTTCTAACACTTATTAACTTTGTGACTCTGTGTAAGTCACTTAACTCTGTTTGCCTCAGTTTCCTCCTCTGTAAAATGAACGATAATAGTGGCACCTTCTTCCCAGGGTTGTGAGGATGAAATAAGATAGTAATTGCAAAGCACTCAAGCATAGTGCTTGGCATGTAATAAGAGCTATATAAGATAGTGTCCAAATGATGGTTTTAAAGAAAGGAACACATGAATTCAAATCCTAACTCATATGAGATAACATGTCTACCGTATTAATAATAGTTGTCATTTATAGAGAGTTTTAAGGTTTACAAGACATTTTACACATACTATCTCATTTAATCACAACAGCCCTGGGAGGTAGGTGCCATTATTACTCCCATTTTCCAGATGGGGAAATGGAGGCAGGCAGAGATACACGCTTTGCCCACAAGCACACAGCTACTAGTGTCTGAGGCAAGATTTGAACTACACCACCTAGCTTCTCTAGCACATTGTTTTTACCATTTCGTTGGTTCCTATATATGCATCCTTTCTCCCTAACATGCTTTGCAGAGAATAACTCACCTCACTACCTAACTGAGTGCCCTATATAAGGGTAAGTAGCAAATACACAAAAATACTTCACAATGAGATTGGTTGCTTTATCAGGAAAACCATTGTATTGGGGGCAATGAGAAAAAATTTTAGGGATGATGCAATTCATGAGTAAGCAACTGATATGCACAATGCCAAGGTTTAAATATGTTATAGTTGTTTTTTTACTATTCTGGCACTATTTACTATTTTTAATTTAATATTTACAATATATACTACTCAAGACACAAATGATCAGTCAGACAGACTGTTCTGGTCCCAACTCACAGTGATCTTAGACAAATCATTTCTGCCCTTGGCCTCAGTTTGCTTAAATATAAAATGAGAGGGGTTGGAATAGATTATCTTTAAAGTCCGTTTCTCTCCTATCCCAACACTGAATTCTACCAGTAAGTTTTAATTCTCCCGTGTAATTTGCTTACAGACTCTCCCCAGACCCTCAGCCCATTCCTCTATCCTTCTAGGCATCTGACAACCTCAAAGTCATCATCCACTCATCACTTTCCTTTATTTTGGGCTCCAGTCAGTTTCCACATCTTGTCAGTTTAAGTCCACATCTCCGCCATCTTTCCCTTTCTCCCTATTCACACAAATACCTCCTAAGTTCGGGTCGGCATCATCTCTTCCTGCATGTAACTTTCCATTTCTTCTCTTGGTTCAAGCCTTGAAGGATGATATGCTCTTGATTTCCCACCAGCTGCACTCCTTGGACTGGACTTCATCATCATGCCTCTTGGAAATCTCTTCACCAGGAGACTCATCATCCTTCCAGATTGCAGCAGCTTTGGTACTCAGACCTCTGCAGAACTGTCAGACACATGGGACCACGTGCATCCCGGGACAATTCTGAGTGCAGTCAGAACCAGATTAAAGTGTAACTGGGAAATATTTAACACAATAAATGAAAAGGGCAGAGCCAAGATGGTGGAGTAAAAGCAGTGACTTGCTTGAGCTCTCCCCCAGACCCCTCCAAAAACTCATAAAAAAATGGCTCTAAACAAATTCTGAAGCAGCAGAACCCACAAAAAGACAGAGTGAAACAAATTTCCAGTCCAAGACAACCTGGATGGTTGATCAGAAAGGTGTATCGTGCCGGGCTGGGAGCGCAGCGCGGCGTGGGCACGCAGGCTGCAGAGAACCTGGAGCAGGCCTCAGAGGACTGAATCGAGGGCAGCTGTGGAGGTTTCCAGACTTCTCAATCCACCAATGCCAAAGACAACTTAGAAGGTCAGTGGGAAAAGGCTGTTTCTGTCAGTGCTGAGAAAGGAAGGTAGGCTTTCAGCTCCATTCCCCAAGAGCATGGCCCTGGGGCAGGGCAGCTGCTTCCCGAGCTTCCAGCCCACAGACTGAGGGGGAATCCAGTGGCTGATCAGAGAGGGACTGCAGGGATCTCTTTGCCAGTGCTGAGGCAGGAATCTCTTGCTTTGCCCGTGTGTGGATCTGGGTCACAGTTCTGGGCAGCAGCGTTGGGGTGAGGAGGAACTCTGGTGTGGTGGAGCTTGTAGTGGCTGTGGAGAGGAACCCCTCCTCACAGTTACAGGACAGAAAAGAATACTTGTGGTCACAGGCCAGGAAAGGAGTAAACACCTCGCCCCTTATCATACCACCTTGGAAGAACTGAAAATTTATAGGTCCCTACAAGTATCCCTGAAAACAGCTACACAAACCCCTGAAGGTGAGACAATACACTCTCCACATTGGAAGCAGACTCTTACCTTAACAAAGAGTTTAAAACTCAAGCAATTGGCCAGGATCATTAGCAAGCAGCGTAAAAACAGTCAGACTATATTATCTTACTTTGGTGAAAAAGAAGATAAAAATATATAACCAGAAGAAGACAACAAAATCAAAGCTCCCACATCCAAAGCCTCCAAGAAAAACATGAATCAGTCTCAGGCCTTGGAAGAGCTCAAAAGGGATTTTGAGAAGCAAGTAAGGGAAGTAGAGGAAAAACTGAGAGTGATGCAAGAAAATCACGAAAAACAAGTCAACAGCTTGCTAAAGGAGACCCAAAAAAATACTGAAGAAAATAACACCTTAAAAAATAGCCTAACCCAAATAGCAAAAGAGGTCCAAAAAGCCAATGAGGAGAAGAATGCCCTAAAAAGAAAAATTGGCCAAATAGAAAAGGAAGTCCAAAAGATTACTGAAGAAAATACTTCCTTAAAAATTAGAATAGAGCAATTGGAAGATAGTGACTTTAGGAGAAATCAAGACACTGTAAAACAAATCCAAAAGAATGAAAAATTAAAAAACAATGTGAAATATCTCATTGGAAAAACAACTGACCTGGAAAATAGATCCAGGAGAGAGAATTTAAAAATTATTGGACTATCTGAAAGCCATGATCAAAAAAAGAGCCTAGCCATCATCTTTCAAGAAATTATCAAGGAAAACTGCCCTGATATTTAGAACCAGAGGGCAAAATAGAAATTGAAAGAATCCACAGATCTCCTCCTGAAAGAGATCCCCAAAGGAAAACTCCTAGGAATATTGTAGCCAAATTCCAGAGTTCCCAGGTCAAGGAGAAAATATTACAAGCTGCCAAAGAAACAATTCAAGTACTGTGGAAACACAATCAGGATAACACAAGATTTAGCAGCTTCTACATTAAAGGACGCAGGGCATGGAATATAATATTGAGGGCAAAGGAGATAGGATTACAACCAAGAATCACCTACCCAGCAAAACTGAGTATAATCCTTCAGGGGAAAAAATGGTCATTCAGTGAAATAGAGGACTTTCAAGCATTCTGATGAAAAGACCAGAGCTGAATAGAAAATTTGACTTTCAAATACAGGACTCCAGTGGAACATGAAGAGGTAAACAGGAAAGAGAAATCATAAGAGACTTATTAAGATTGAACTGTTTACATTCCTGCATGGAAAGATGATATTTATAACTCATGAGACCTTTGTCAGTATTAGGGTAGTTGGAGGAAAAAAATTATATGTATGTATATAGATAGATAGATAGAGGCACAGGGTGAGTTGAAGATTAAGGGGTCATATCTGGAGAATAAAATTAAGGGATGAGAGAGGATTATACTCGGAGAAGAAGAAAGGGAGAGGTAGAATGGGGTAAATTATCTCACAAAAAAAAAACAGAAAAGAAAAGTCTCTTACAGTGGAGGGGAAATGGGGGAAGGTGAGAGGGAATGAGTGAATCTTATTCTCATAGGATTTGGCTTAAGGAGGGAATAACATACACATTCAATTGGGTATGGAAATCTGTCTTACCCTACAGGAAAATAGGGGGAGAAGGGGACAAGAGAGCAGGGGATGATAGAGAGGAGGGCAGATTGGGAAAGGGGGTAATCAGAAGCAAATACTTCTGAGGAGGGACAGGGTCAAAAAAAAGAATAGAATAAATGGGAGGACAGGATAGGATTAAGGGAAATAGAGTTAGTTTTTCACAACATGTCTACTATGGACATGTTTTGCATAACTGCACATGTACAACCTATATTGAGTTGCTTGCCTTTTCAATGAGGGTGGGTGGGGAGGGAGGAAGAGAGAAAATTTGAAACCTAAAGTTTTAAAAACATATGTTTAAAAAAAATGTTTTCACATGCTACTGGGAAATAAGAAATACAGGAAATGGGGTACAGAAGTCTATCCTGCCCTACAGGAAAATAGAAGGGGAAAGGGATAAGAGAAGAGGGGAGAGACACAGAAGAGAAGACAGTCTAGGGAAAGGGATATTCAGAATGCATGACATCTTGGGGTGGGGGGAAGGGGGAGATGGGGTAAAAATTTGGAACTCAAAAACTTGTGGAAGTGAATGTTGAAAACTAAAAATAAATAAATTTATATTTAAAAAAACAATAAATTAAAAACAGTAAAACACAGGTAATATTACATCTTAAAACTAAGTCAGCATGTGCCAGCCAGGATCCTCTTGTTAGCACACTTACCCCACCCCGCCCTTTTTATTTGACCTACCGTACCCTCTGATCCTCTGATTGGAGGACAGATCAAAGAACTCCTCCCAAAGCCTTCAGTTTCCCACCAGTTGGACTCCTAGGATGGACTCTACCACCCCTCCTTCTACCTCCTTCTCCTTCCCCACCTTGCCTTATTGTTTTGTTTTTTATCTTCCTGGTTAGATTGTAAGTGCCTCGAGGGCAGGAATTATCTTTCTCTTTATTATTTGTATCACCAGGGCTTAGAAGAGTGCCGGACACATAGTAGGCCCTAAGTAAATATTTTTGACTGACTGATCTAGTTCATAGGGCACTGAATTTGGAGTAAAGACAGAGTTGGGATCAAATCCCACCTCAAACACTTAGTTGTCTGACAGTGGGCAAGTTATTTAACTTCTTATTGTCTCTGTTTTTCACCAGTAAAATGAGGAGGTTGGACCAGGGCCTCTAAGGTTCCTTCCAGTTCTAAATCTGTAATGCTATCATCCTCTAGTCCATCCTTCAGACAGCTGCTAAAGAGATGTTCCTAAAGTCATCTCTGACTGTTACTCCTCTCCCCAATAAACTTCAGTGGCTCCTATTGGCTCTGGGATAAAATAATATTTCATCTGCATTTCATCCTTTTTCTACTTCTATTTTTGTGTTTTATAATGTAATCACATCTAATGTAATTAGATTTATAATATAATTTATATATGTATAAGTAATGATGTATTACACTAATGTAATGTACATTATTGTAAATAAGTGTTTACATAAATAAGTACACAATATGGGCTGGGGTATTCTAAAAAAGTTTTTACTGTTGGGAAGCCCATTCAAAGGATCATGGTAGCTTCTGCTCTGAGAGAAAGCCCCGCCGCTGTCATGCCCAAGCGTGGCCGCCAGGGTGCACCAGAGCGTCTCCTCGTCCCCTTCTCTCCCGGAACCCGGACTGCAGGCCGGAACCTTTGTGCAGAGCTCCAGGGCCGGAAGCCCTCTTCTAAAAGCGCAACTCTGGCCGGAAGTCAGGGCTGGTGGCAGGAAACGCGGCGATTTTAACATGAGCTTTCCGGGTGTCCTGCGTCTGTTCCCGGGAGGTAAGAAAGCCCTAAGGCCGTGGCGGACGACGCTGTGTCCGTCCCGGCCGGGTGTCCCGCTCCCCTCTCCCAAGTCTTGACAGCTCGTGCCTAGTCCGGACGTCCCCCTCTCCTCCCTCTCCCCTCCCCCTCCTCCGCGCCATCCCTTCTCTTCCCTCCTCCCCTTTCCCCTCCTCCTCCTCCCTTCTCCTCGTCTTCCCGTCCCCTTTTCCCTTCCTTCCCTTCCTTCCCTGCCTCCTCCTCCTCCCCCTCCCCCCTTCTCCTCTTCCCCCTCACTTGTGTCTTCCACCGCCCTTCCCCCTCCCTCCCCCCATTACACATGGAGTGTTTACAGGACCTTTTTTTTCTTTAAACATTTCAATTTATTATTTTAACCATTCTTTTCCTTTTAAATTTTGAGTTCCAGATTCACTCCCTCCTTTCCCTCCTCTCCCCCATCTACTGAGAAGGCAAGCAATATATCAATTATACATGTGAAGTCATGTACAATGTTTCTGTATTACACATTTTATATATTATGTTTATATATTATATATATTCTGTATTGTATTTTAAAAATAAACTGAGAAAATTATACTTCACTTCGCACTCAGAGTTCCTCAGTTCTTTCTCTGGAAGTGGATAGCATTTTTGTCGTAAGTCTCTTTCATTCGATCCTCCTTACAACGCTGCTGTTACTGTGTACAGTGATCTCTCGGTTCTTCTCACCTTACTTTGTATCAGTTCATACAGATCTTGCAGTGTTTTTTCTTGTTGGGTTTGGTTCCAATTAGTATTTTTCTTTGAGGCTTTTTATGTCACTGTTTTCACATTGGTATAGTGGTCTGAGTTTGTGTCTTGGTCTTCCTTGCCACCGTAGTAGCTTTTTATGGTCAAATTCTTTTCTTTTGGTTGTTGTTTGCTTATTTTTCCAGGCTTTTTTTTTTTAACTTTGAACCTCTGATCACCTTGGGGTGGGGCGGCACTGTGCTGAGCTTTAGACTTTTTCAAGCTGGTGTTTTCACAGCTGTTCTGGGATTCTTACAAGGTAGTGTGATCCAGGGAAAGGTGTGCTTTGTGCTCTAGTCCTTACCTAGCAACCTGCAGCCAGAAGGGCTAGTGATCTTCACTGTTTTGAAACCAACCTCCAGTGCTCCTCTCTGCACTGGAACTGGGACCCAGAACTGAATATGGGCAATAGAGTTGCCAATTAGCACCGGCTGTACCCAGTGCTAGCAAAGGGTCCCCAGTAATCTCCTTCTGAACAGTTGTCAGACTCCCTCAACCATCTCTGGGCTGAGAGCTCTAGAAGCTTGTCTGGGCCACAGACAGGCCTCTACCCCAATGCCACAGACTCTTAAGATTTCTTAGGCCTGAAAAATATCTTACCCCAACCTTTTGTGTGCTGTGCCGCTCCAAAATTTGATTTGAGGTGTTACTTACAGTCCTTTAGAAGGAAATATTGGGAGAGTTCGGCTGAGTGGCTGCCCCAATTGGCTATCTTGGCTCCACTGCCTCTATAGGCCCTTTCTGCACACTTGCCCAGTCTAAGGTTGTTTTGCATTGAGGATGAAGCTGTTTAGAGGGAATAAAATTTAACTGTATATATCCCATCCCCCCATTCCCCCAAGCACACACAACTAGATACATCTGAGTACATAGGAAGTAAAACTTAGGGCCTACACCTAGTAAGAAAGGAGAGAGGAATCTGTTATAGGGGACCGCCCATCACAGCAATGTCTGGTGGCAGGAGTGTTGGATCTGGATTAAGAGGGCTTGGGTTCAAATTCTGGCCCTATCATTTATGACCTTACTGCGGGTGACTTTGGGCAACTTCCTGAACTTCTCTGGGACTCCATTTCCTCCTAGGTTTATAAAGTGAGGGGGTTGGGTTACTTATAGGCTCTTAACCTTTGTGTCAGGGACTTTGGCAATCTGCTGGAATCTACAAGACCCCTTCCCAGGATCATTTAAATGCATAAAATAAATGCATGAGATTACAAAGAAAACCAATTATATTGAAGTATGGTTCAAAATACAAAAAACAAAAAAACAAGTTCCCAGACCCTGAGTTAAGAAATCCTGGACTTGATGAACTCTTAAAGCCTTTCAGCTTTAAATATATGATCCTATAGTTCCAATTAACTATGTGACCCATTTTTTTTCCATTTTAGGAAAGTGGAAATATTTTCAGGTTGCAACATGCCCATCTCTGTGCCAGCCTTTGCTGTCCTGCTGTCAGAGAAAATCCATAGCACCAGTGAAGAAAACAGACTTTGTTTCAACCTCTTCGGATGAGAGCTTAAAGGACACTGGAAAAAAGTTGGAAGGCCTCTACTCTTCTGAAGAGAAAACAGCTATTTTGCAGGTGCTCAATACAGCATCTGTGAACGAACTTGCTACTTTCACATTTCTTCGAGGAAGGAAGTCTGTCAACATTGTAAAGCACAGGGAAAAACATGGGCCTTTCCAAGATTTGGAGAGCTTAATGGACGTGCCCTTGTTTCAGTACAAAATTACAGTGAAAGTGTGTGACTCCATTCTATGGCCGTTATCGAAAACTAAAAAGAAAGAGAAAAGAATACCGGATAACTGGTCATTACAAAAGGTTGCCAAACCAGGAATAGAAAAAAAGAAGCTTAAGGTATGCCTTTTTCTTAAAATCTGTTTTACCTGTTCTGTGTAAATCAGTGTCCTAGGCGCTGGGTGATAAAAAGACATTGTCCCTGATGTCAAGAATTTCTGAAGTATTTTGAGGTACAAAGCCTATATATATATATATATATATATATATATACACTTAGTATATACCCATGCACTTCATCGGCAGTATATGCTGAGTATTAAGAAACTAAGTGATGTCAATGAGCCAGGAAGCGAAGAAGACTGTGAGAAAACTGTAGGCTTGATTAGTCAGGGAAGGCTTCCTTGATCTTGAAGAATGGGCAAAATCTGGAAAAGAGGAGAGGGAGTGAGCAAAAATGAAGAAGTAGGGATAAAAATAGCTTGTTTGAGGGATGGCAAATAGAGGAATCAGAGAATGTGGCTGGAGCAAAGTGGTGAGGTATGTGAGGGAGGTGGTGAAAAACTAAGTTACTAAGGTGTACTGGGGCCAGATTTCGGAGCACAGAATGATGCTAAAAGGATAGAAGAAAACAAATGAAATAGTCCCTGCCTACAAGGAGCTTATATTCTAATGGGGAAATACAATTTATATATATTTAGATTTAAAGCTAGAAGGGACTTTAGAAGCTAAACCCTTCATATTAAAGATGAGGAAACAGGCCTACAGATGATGTGACTTGTACAAAGTCACGTTCGTGTGTAGAAAACTAAATATAAAATACATAAAGCATTTAGTTTCTAGGGGAGAGGGCTTTAGCAGATGTCGAAATCAGACTGGCTTCCTGTAGGAGGTGCCGCTTTAGCTGATAGCTAGAGATTCTAAAAGGCAGAGGTGAGAAAGGCATGGACAACAGCCTGAGCAAAGCCATGGAGATAGGAGATGGACTGTTGTACGTAGGCAATGGTGAGCAGGCCACTTTGGCTGAAGTAGAGAGTGTAGAGGGGGCGGCTAGGTGGCACAGTGGATAGAGCACTGGCCCTCAGGAGGATCCGAGTTCAAATCCAGCCTCAGACCGAACACTTGACACTTACTAGCTGTGTGACCCTGGGCAAGTCACTTAGCCCCAATTGCCTTAAAAAAAAAAATGTAGTGCAGGCCGGAGCTAGTTTGGGAAGGTCAGGGAGTTGAACTTGATCCAGCAAGCAAGACATTAAATAATCATTCAAAGAGAGAAACTGTTAGGGAATGACTTCTACCAGTGGTGCCCACTTTGATGGCTGTGGAATTACGGCAGAGGGGCTGCACATCTCTGCACATTAAGCCTTGTCATGTTTATCTGTATCACTAACAAAACACACAGCCTGACTTGTGAGAATAAACCCCTGTATTTTTCTGTAGACTGAATGTCTTGCACATTTTTGTATAAGGTTTTCAAATATATATAAATATAGCTGTAACTAATAAAATATAAGTTCACGTGTTTCTCTTTGTTTTTCTGTGTCTTCTCAATCATCAGCTACTCACAGGTAAGGACAACTCCATCACCTGTGAGCCTGTGAAATGTATTGATGTTAAAGAGGTTCTGACAACACCCAAGACGTGTTAGAAAAAAATGAGAAAGGCAGTTTTTCTTTTCCAGCACAATTGAAGAATGTCTGTTTTTCAATAGGACTTTTGTATCGTTCCCAAAGGAAGACTTAATTCTGTTGCTTCCTACAGATTCAAAAATTGGTTTCCATCCTTTATTTCTGAATATAATTCCCTGGCTTACTACAGTAAAATGAAAGGGTTTGTGGGATATAATTCTTATGTCTTCAGTAGCATCTCTCTAGGCAAAGCATGATCATATCCTAAAGCTCATATTGTAGTGCTTTTCAGGCCTTAAAAATGTTGTGATTGCTTCCTCTTATGCTTGGTATATTACCCATATTATTTGTGGGTAACAGACTTGGAGAGTGAGCAGGTATGCCATCTATATAAAGGGAATCTTTTACAGTGCTTACACTCTTCAAGGATGTTAGCAGTTGAACCATATTTTTTTATTTGTTTTAGGCAGCTAATAGTATTGTATCTATTGTTTTTGGCAAAGAAAAAATTGCATGGGCTCATCTTGATAGCAGACTAACGGTTCTTGATTGGCGACAAGGAAATAAATTTAAACTGATGAAAGAAACCTTCACACCGGCTGGGTATCTGGAAATGGTGAGTAAGTTGTCCTTCCCAGTATCTAGCTCCCAAAGCCCTCTCTGCGGCTTAATCTGTGTCCTCGTCCTATAAGGAAGAGTAGGACAAAGAGAATTATGATGTAGTCCTTAGGCCCCGTCTGTTCTTTTTATGTTTGTCTTCACCTGGATCCCACTGGATCTTCAGGTACAGTTATCTTTAGAAACAGCATTTTTACAGTTGAATAGGAAGTAAGCATTGGACAAAAATAGTACTAAGTTACAGTATTGTAATATTTTCAGAACATCACCCCCATCTTACATAATGATAATCGACATTCATATAAGACTTTAAAGTGTGCCAAGCTCTTTATATACATTATCTTGTCTGAGTCTCACAGTGGCCTGGTGATGATTGTAGCTACAGATTCTGTTACTCCTCTTTTACAGATGAGAAAAATAAATCCCAATTAAGGTGAATTGACTCACCTACAGTCACACAGTTAGGGTCAGAGGTGGGATATTCACCTAGTCCTAGATCTTCCTGCCTCCACATCAGGCTTGTTATCCATGTCTAACTTTTAAAAGGGCCTCCATGTTTTCATCCAATGCTTACATTGACTGGAAGAGGTAGGCAGGGCAGGTCTTACCAGCTGCTTTGTGGATCATGTGACCATTGGAGACAAGTGCCTTTGCCTGTAAATTAACAGCTGGAAAAGGTAGAATTAGGACCCAGGTCTCCTGAGTTTTGTCCCTTTTTTTTTTTATTTAAAGAAAAAGAAAGAAATTAGGGGAACATGGAAAATTTTACTTGTTAGATCTATGGATGAGGGAGGAATTTACAACCAAATGAGATAGAGAGGCTCAAGGAAGGTAAAATAGATCATTTGGATTATATGCAATTAAAAAGTTTTCGTACAAACAAAACCAATGCAGCCAAGATTAGAAGGAAGGTAAGAAACTGGGGGGGAAATTTTTTACAGCAAGTTCCTCTGATAAAGACCTCATTTCTCAAATATATAGGGAACTGAGTCAAATTTATAAAAATGGAAATCATTCCCCAATTGATAAATAAAGAATATTGAACAGTCAGTTTTCAGAAGAAGAAATTGAAGCTATCAGTAATAACATAAAAAGTGCTCAAAGTCACCATTGATTAAAGAAAGGCAAATTAAAACAACTCTGAGGTGCCACCTACCACCCACTAGGTTGGTTAATAAGACAGAAGAGGGAAATGATAAACGCTGAAGGGGACCTGGAAAAATAGGAGTATTAATTCACTGTTGGTGGAGTTGTGTACTGATCTAACCATTCTGGAGAACAATTTGGAGCTATGCCCAAAGGGCTATAAAACTGTGCCTAACTTTTGACCCAGCAATACTACTACTAGGTCTGTATCCCAAAGAGATCAAAGAAAAAGGAAAAAGACCTGTATGTATGAAAATATTTCTAGCAGCTCTTTTTGTGGTGACAAAGAGTTGGAAATTGAGGGAATGCTTATTGATTGCGGACTGGCTAAACCAGTTTTGGTATATGATCGTGATAGAATGCTATCAGAAAAACCTGGGAAGACTTATATGAACTGATGCAAAGTGAAGCAAGCATAACATCACACACAGTAACAGCAACATTGTAATGATAATCAACTGCGAAAGACTTATCTGATCAATACAGTGGCCTAAGATAATTCCAAAGGACTTATGATGAAAAATGCTATCAACCTCCAGAGAAAAACTGATGAGTCGAAGTGCAGAGTGAAGAATTTTTTTCCCCCTTATTTTTCCTGCCTTTTTTTTTTTTGCAACTTGGCTAATATGGAAATGTTTTGTATGATATCACATTTCTTGCCTTCCCAGTGAGTAGGGAAGAATGGGAGGGAGGGAGAAAATTCAGAACTCAGAATTTTTTTTAAGTGAATATTAATATTAAATAAATGCATTTATTAAGAGAAAAAGAAAGAAAAGCCCAAGTTCAACAAATGATTTGAAAACATCATGTGGTAAATAGTCATTTTAGATTGGTACAAGAACCATGATCATCTTGCTCAGTTGACATCCTATATATCAGGTGACTGAAGCTCAGCGACTTGCCCAAACTTTCTCCAACTAGTTAGTGACAGATCCAGGACTAGTGTGGCCCAGGCTCCTGGCTCCCACATGACTGTTTTCCCATTGTCAAACCCACTTATAAAAAGTTAGTTCCCGTTGATTGTAAAAACATCATTTCTAGTGTCAACTCTAAATAAAAATCCAGTTTTTAGAAAGAACACAGATTAATGCAAACAGTACTGAAGGATAATCTAATCTTTCTGTATCAAATATATACTATATACAACTACTAAAGTCAGGGTAAAAATGATTAAATAGTTTTGGTGTTAGGAAATAATGATGTGCTAAGGGGAAAAAAGTGACTCAACAATGACTTCTCTGTGATTCTTCCTTGCTTTTAGATTTCCTCAGTCGTTTCAGAAATCCCTGAAGCAGATTTCTATATTTTGGAAAAAAGAACATTTTCTCTTCAGCAGACGGCTTTGTTTCCAATTGCATTACATTTCCACATTGTGGAGGCCATGCTGTATTCCTTGTTAAACAAAACGTTTGCTCAAGATGGCCACCATCGGGTGTTGAGCATGAGCCGGAATATGGTAGGGAAACACTTTGATTTGATGCTTGGGAATATGCGGACTAGTGGCATGGCTGTGGTCCAGCAGTTTCTCTCAGACTCTGCACTGAAAGCAAAGTCCCGGGTGTCCTTCCCATCTGAGAGTGTGGTGCGTTATAGAAGCATGGTAGAGACTGATGGAAGAGAAAGAAAGGAAGAATTGTGTGATTCCCTGCTGCAAGCAGTGGCTTTTTATGAACTCTTGGTGTTCGGCCCTCATTCATAAAGCTTTTCCCGGATGCAAGATGGCGCGAGGCAGAGGCTCTTAAATCTTCTCTTGCTCGCAGCAGAGTGTAGTGAAGAGAGCACTGGAGCTGGAGTCCGAAATCTTTGGGTTCAAGTCCTGCTGTGTACACTTTCTCCTTGTGTGAGCCTGGGCAAGTCACTTCAGCTTCCACATCGGTGAAGCAAAGGGGCTGGACTTGATGGCCTCGAATTCTAAGCCCTTCTAGCTCTCAATTGGTGGCCGCCTAACTCTCAGCATTATGGCCACTTAAGTTGGCCACAAAGAAACATTTCCAACCTGGGCCTGGGGAATTCCCCGCCTTTCCCTCCCATCAGTCCTCCGGTGGCCTGTCACCCTCTTCTTCATTTCTTCAGGACTGGATGTAGAAGAGGTGCCTTTGCATCAGCCTCTGTGGATAGAGCTGACCCTCAGCCAGGAAGGCTTCGAGTCGGGGCGAGGGGTCTGCAAGCGGCCTGGCAGAAACTCATGGACCCCCGAAGCAGCAGACATGATCTCTGTTGGGTGACAGTTCTACCAGCTGGGTGACCTTGAGCAATTCAGAGTAACATCTGTGGCCTCAGGTTAGGACCAAGATCCTGTCTGTGTTGAGAGAAGAGTCTCAATTATCATCAACTCTTACTAGCAGCATTTCTATGATTGGCAGCTTATCCACGTTCTGATTTTTCATATGAAAGGCCGGGAGAACATGACTGGTTGAAGTTGGGAGTTTTAGACACCTGGATGGCTCATACTTTTTTTTAGTGATCACCTAAGAAATGTTGTCAAATCAGTTTTTAGAATGCTGCTAGGAGCCCAGTGCTAGAGTTACGAAGTGCCAGCTCTCCTTCCCTTTACCGGTCTGTCCTTTCAGGTGATGGTGCCTGAACAGCAAGAAACAGACCATATCACCACCCCCCCCTTGAAAGCTGTGCCATAGGTATAATTACACTAGAGATCAACAAAGGAAGTGTATTCCCATTGTGTGTGGGTTTTTAATGTTTGTGACTTTCCAGGAAGTAACTGGAATAATAAATGCTCTTTTGCTCTAGTGACAGGGCCTATTGTGTTTTAATTATTTGTTTTCTTTTTGCCTTTCTTAAAATTTTTGATTCTTAAAAAGCCTTTACAACCTGGTGCCTTTCTGCTTTTCTGGTCTTGTACTGTACTTCCCCCCATGGCCTCTGCGATAAGGCACCACTAGACTCCCTGCTGTTGTTAATAGGAAGCTGTCCTTGAAGTAAGGAAGACCTGAATTTAAGTCTCTTCCTTTGGGTTATAAGACCCTCATCAGATCAGTTAACCTCTCCTTGCTTTAGGCCAGAGGGGTCAAACAGCCTGCTGGCAATACTCTGGTGTGCGCGGAACAAGATTAAAGTGTCATTGGGACATATTTAACAAAACAAACATGCAATAAAACAGGTGTTAATATGTGGTTTTCTACATCAATATGCTGCCACAGTTGGCTGTTTCTGTTCGAGTTTGACACTACTCTAGGCACTCTAAAACTGAGTTGCAGGGAAGGTTCTGACATACATTGGTAGAGGGAGTTTCCTCATCTGGGAGTTCCCTATCCCGATGAAACCATAGATCCAGTTCCTATCCCCAAAATTTTCTGTGGGAGGTTCTCTGGAGGGTGTGCAGAGTGGAGAAAGGTTTATAATGGGAAATGTTGCTGATGTGAAAACAAAAGCTATCATTAGAAGCCTGTCTAAATTTAAAACAGTTCAGAAAAGCCTCTTCCTGATCAGTAGCATCCTTACAGTACAGTCCTACTACTGGAGTCCCTGGGGAGGAACAGGAGGAGTTGGCAGCTTCCCTGGCAGCCGCCATATTCTACAAATGAGTCACTTGAAGTTGTTTCTTTTGAGATGATGGTGTTCCAGCCCTATAGACTCACCAGGAATAATATCATTTTGTTTTCTAAGCCTGGGTCCTCTAGGCTGGAAGTGCCAGGGCTAGTCACAGCCTCGATCCCCACTGCTGACGGTGCAGGGGTTTTGACCTGATTCCAACCTGGGCTGGATTACCCCTTCTTTAGGCAACCTGGTACATACACCCTCCCCCCCAGCACACACACTGTTAACAAATTGGTCAATAAATATTTATCTAGTACCTTCCACGTGCCAGGAAGTGTGCACTGATGTGTTAACTCAAACTTAGTATGGCTCAGAACCCCTGACTTCTAGAGGTCCAATGGCCTCAGCCTCTCCTGCAGCAGTAAGGCGGGCATGCACCTCCTATAGGGACGAGACCCTCTTTTTTCATTCATCACGGTTACTGAAGACCCAGAAGAGTTCTCACCATTAAAGTCCTTAGTGCTGCAAGGTAAGGTTTCATCAATCCAAATAACGTTTTTAAAAAAGGAGCACTGTTTTCACAATGTGACTAATGTGGAAATATGTTTAATATGATTGTATAGGTATAGCCTATATAAGATTGCATGCCATTGGGGAGTGGGGAGGGGGAAAATTTAGAACTCAAAATCTTATAAAAGAGAATGTTAAAAACTAAGAATAAATAAATTTAATAATAATTTTTAAACAAAAGTTCTGATCAGCCTTATTTCCCATTTATACACTCAAGAAACTGGATTGCTTTCCAGGCTCACGATCAGGCCTTCCTCTGCCAGACTCATCTTGCTGCTCCATCCTCAGAATCATTGGTCTTTTTCCATCTGCACTGAAATAACAGCCCCCTCTATGTTTTCCTTCTCCCCATTAGACTGTAAGCACCTTGAGAGCAGGAATCATCTCTCTTTTCTATTTGTATACCAAGCACTTAACACAGAATGGGCCTTACTTTAACGTATGTTTTTATTCATTCGTTCGTTACCAGGGCTTAGCATGGTAAAAACTTTTTTAAAGCATCAAATAAAGACTGCAGAACTCTGATACAAATTCAGTGACCAGTGTTTCACAGGTAACACCATTTTGGGGCAGGAGAACGCAGCGGGGCTCCTAACACTAACAGGTGCTAGCACAGGTTCACTTTTGATCCAGTCAGACAGGAAGACAGCTTCGGAGGGGTTAAATAAGCTTCCTTCATTCTAGTCTAGTCTTCTCAAAAGAATGTTGCTGATAATGAGAGCACGAACTACTACAACATTCTCTAATAACCCTTCTCACGGGGGCTGGCGTGAAGGGGGTGCAACTATGATGGGGTCACTCGAGACAAGCACAGCTTGCGCACTCACCCCAAGCAGGTCCCCACTCACTGACCAGGGCCCACTTGCTTTAGAGGGCAACAGACAAAGAAGGCATCTTGTCGACTTTAAGCTCACAGGTTAACTTTAGCAATATTGTCATAACCTAGCACAGCTCAGGCGTGCATTATGTCATCCCTATATCTCACTGTGCAAGCGTGGTGATGTTTTCAACCATAATTCATGGGAAATATTATCTAGGATTCTAGAACTATTATCTAAAAAGGAATAACAATTCTTCCTACACACACTAAAAGTCACTTTACTCACAACCAATCATGACTTCAAAAGACTTAATGGTAAAACATGCCCCATCTCAGCACAGATGTTGGTCAAGAGGTGTGGAATGAGGTTTGACTACACTTAATTCGTTAGAAGGAAGGGTTCAATGGAATGAGAGAGGAAGCAGGAATCATTAGGAAGTGACAATGATATAAAAAGAAGCACCAATAAAACATTTTTAAAAGTTACAATATAAAAAGGTGTGGTTTCTGAGCTGCAAAGACTGAAATAGTACCTTCACTGACAAGCTTGCAGATTCATCTAAGTATTGGTAATTGAAAATGTGACACTAAGGAGCAGCTAGGTGGCGTAGTGGATAGAGCTTAGGCCTTGGAGTCAGGAGGACCTGAGTTCAAATCATGCCTCAGACACTTAACACTAGCTATGTGACCCTTAACCCCGATTGCCTCACCAAAAAGCAAAAAAAAAAAAGTGACTCCAGAGTTAAATGATTCCAAGCACTCCTGCATTAATTGTATCTTCTATCAATGGAGGACCTTTTAGTGAAATAGTACAACCGGAACAATTATACAGGTTATGTATAAGAAATACTCTTAAAGCTGAGACCATGCAACTTAGAAGTCAAATCAATGTTCCTAGTCAAAGTTTGTTTCTTTGAACTTGTAACATAAAAGCCAAGAAGTCATGATGTAGAATGAGATACATTTTGGAACATAGTCAATTCCTTGACTATGCATATATTACAAGGTCTTGTTTTTCTGTGGGTGAGGAAGAGAAAATAAATGCTTAACTTGAAATTTTTTTTTAAAGAAGCCAAGAACCACAGTTCATGCCTTTGGCATACATTACGGGTCAAAGTTTACAAAGCCACATTTCTTTTCTTGACAATATTAAAATTGTCTAAGCCAGTTTAAATGTATCCCTTTGCCCTATTTGCTTTGTTATTTCACTGATATGACTATTCCCTCCATCAATGCAGATTGTATCTCCTTCTCCAGACCTTAATAATCTTCCAGAGTTGCTGTCCCCACCCCACTGGCAAAAAAAAATTCTATCACCTTATTGGCCAAACTTGTGCATATGGTCCTTAGACACTGCCGTACAATGTGCTGTGAAAACCATACTTTAAGCTAATGCTTCTTACAGAACTGCCAGACCTTGTGCTCTCCTGGAGGGTCCTCGAGAACCCAACCTCAGTTCCATACATCACAGTGATGTGGAAATATGACTTGAATGGAATGTTGGGAGCCAAGCTGTTCATGTGTAAAACTGAGTCAATCACATAGGACTCTTTTACAAGTTGCATTCTTCCAGATGACATAAGATAACCAAAGATATAATGGAACCTAAGAAGATTATTTTTAAAAAACTCCCATTAAATTCTATTATTTTATCAGATCACTTTAAGTACCTTCTCTAATCATTTTACTGAAATGAGTCACTGTTTGCCTCCCTACATCCTTTTATTATCTTGAGAAATATTATTGGGGAGCGAGGGGGGGAGAAATACTTACTCTTAACTACCAGAGGCAGAGTGCTAAAGTGGACTGTCCCTAGAGCCAGAAAGCCCTAGGTTCAAGTCCCGTGTCTGACCTATACTTAACTAGATGATCCTGCCTAAGTCCCATAACCCCCAGAAGGTCTAAAAAACCTTCTACTGTAAGTTTCAAGGAAGTGCTGACCTGCATTGTGGAGAGGCCACTCTTCACCGGTAGCTCTGAACACTAATAAAATCATGATCCAGAGAAAGCTCATTTATAGCCTCACAAGAAGCTGTTTCAGAAAATGTCACTTACTTGTCCCAGTTTACTGTTTCAAAGCTAAAAGTGACTTGTGCTCCCCTAAATTATTATATGCCTATAGTTCTTTTTCAAAATACCAATGAAGCTTTCCTTTGGCCATTAATTAAACCAATATACTAACTTGATACTTAAGAAAAGTTTGGAAAATGTACAATGATCAAAGATTTTATTACATTAAGATTTCTTATTCCTTTAATATTCAGAAACCAATTAAGGAGAACTACAGCCACCCAATTCAACTAAATGTTCATTTTGTTTCATTATCTGTTTTCTAAGATTACCAATGGTTTTTCAATTACTCAGAGACTGGCTACTTTTTAGTGATTTTTTTTTCAATTACAATATTGTAACCATGTATAATTTCTTTGGGTTCCGTTTGTTGATAAAACTTTCCTAAGCATCTATGAATTTTTCATATTTTTAACAACATATTAATATTCCACTTTATTAATCTAACAGTGTCCCTGAATATTAATTTTGCAAATGTATAACCTGTTTAGTTATCTGACATGCCTAAGTCAAAGGGCTGACACATAGTGACTAATAAAGGCTTTTTTATTTAATGGAAAAAATCAGGAAGATATTTCTAATTTATGATCCATTTAAAAGTAGAGTTGGTTATACTGATTAAAGAAATGCAAATCAAAACAACTCTGAGGTGCCACATCACACCTATCAGATTGGCCAACATGACAAAACAGGAAAATGATAAATGTTGGAGAAGATGTGGAAAAATTGGAACACTAATGCATTGTTGGTGGATTTGTGAAATGAGGCAACCATTTTGGAAAACCATTTGGAACTATGCCCAAAGGGCTATAAAAATGTGCATACCCTTTGACCCAGCAATAGCACTTCTAGGGCTGTATCCCAAAGAGATCATACAAATGGGAAAAGGACCCACATGGACAAAAATATTTATAGCAGCTCTTTTTGTAGTGGCAAAGAATTGGAAATTGAGAGGACACCCATCAATTGGGGAATGGCTGAACAAGTTGTGGTATATGAATGTAATGGAATACAGTTGTGCTAAAAGAAATGATGAACAGGTTGACTTCAGAAAAACCTGGAAAGACTCGTATACAAGGTCTGATGCTGAGTGAAATGAGCAGAACCGGGAGAATGTTGTGCACAGCCACATTATGGGATGACTAATATTGATAGACTCAACCCTTTTCAGCAATACAAGGATCTAAGATACCTCCAAAGGCCTCATGATGGAAAATGCTATCCACATCCAAAGAAAGAAATATGGACTTTGAATGCAGATTGAAGCATACTATTTGCTATTTTTTTTTCTTCTGTTGTGTTTTGTTTCCTCTTTCTGGTGGTTCCTCCTATTCTAATTATTACTTACAATATCACAATACTTACAATATATTTAACAGGAATGTATATGTATAGCCTATATGAGATTGCACGTGCTGTCTTGGGGAGGGAGGTAGGGAGAGAGGGGGAAAAGAATTTAAAACTCAAAAGCTTAAGGAAGTGATTGTTCATAATTCAAAATAAATTAATTTTTTAAAAATGTTTAAAAAGTAGAGTTGGTTAAGCCATTTGCAAAGTAATTTCAAGTAAAACGACCATATTTTAAATCATTTAATTACATGTTCCTTCTTTAATCAGAAAGCAAAATCTTAAAAGGAAATACCTCAACAGTTATTTGAAAAAATACAGGAATTCAGTCACCTCAAGATACAAACTGATCAAGAATAATTCATCCAAATATGACCAAATTCAATTAATCTGGAAAAAGGTATATAAAATGTTCAGTCATATGAAACTTTGTTAAAATCTTTATGAAATATAACACAAAGGTAGAAAAAGGTAGAAAAATGTACAAAATAGTTGGCAGGTTGACAAAATAAAGTAACACATAAGATGATAGCAGAAAAATATTTATAAAACTCCACTGTCTAGATAATCCAATATTACCAAATATCAAAGCAACAGGGAAAACTTCCATTTTAAAATTAAAGTCATTTTCCTTCACTCTTGAAATTAAGTTCTCTTCAAAGTATGTCTGTGGTATATGGTTCTAAAAGTCTTAAATTAGCAACACGCATGTTTTCAACAGCAAAGTCAAACAAGCTGGGGGTGAATTCTGTAAAATCTATTTTGGAAGAAATTGTCCTGCTACTGAAATTCATAATTAAATTAAAAGAAGACCTGGTCCTGTCACTGGAACAGGGTGGCAGTGAAGGAGAAAATTTCTGAGAATAACTTGGAACACAAACATTTCTGGACACATCTGGGTTAAACCTACACTCCAGGAGAAATGAGTCGCTCATCCACACAGAAATAAAGTTTAAAAAAAAAAAAAGATCAGCTCAGACAAGAGAAAAGTACAAAAACATCAGCCTAAAGAAGAGCTATCACAACCAAATATACAGTTTGTAACCCAGGCTTGTGGTTATTTTAAATACTTGCACACGAATATAAAATATACAAAGTCTATTTTTACTGTACATCAAGAAGAAATTTAATGACACAGGAAAATCAATGAAATAGCAAACTGGAATCAGTGTCTTTTACTGTACATGGCACCATCAGCACAGAGCACTAGGGGAACTCGGCTGCCAAACGGCTCACAGTGTCTTTGGGGATGTCAAGATGAATTCCTTCAAAATAGTGCAGGAACCTGTCCAAAGGGAAAAAATAAGAAATAGTTTGGTCATGTCTCTCTTCATCTAATGAAGACAGGCCACAAGAAATGTTCTGAGAGCCTTACCTTCTCTTATTCCTTTCTTGTTCTTTTAACTTCTCCATCCTACAGATGCTGCGGAGGGCTGGCAAGTATTCCGAGAGGCTGGCCTGCCTGCTGCTCCCCAGGTTTAGAAGAGATTTACCAGAAAATACAGCTTTTACAACTGCCAACCTCTTCTGTGCTTTGCTGCAAGTTAAAAAGGAAATAATCTTTTTATATATATCCAATAAAAACAGAACTGAACACTCAAACTGATTTCTCTTTCATCTTACACTGCTACAAAAATGAACTTTTTCCAGATATTGCTTTCATCGCATTATTCTTCTGTTCAAAAATCCTCAATGGCTCTTAAATGTCTATTGCATTGACCACACGTCTGCCCAGCATTGGAGGCTCCTTCCTAATCTGGCCCTGGTCCTACCTACCTGTCCAACCTGGACTCTCATCATCTCTCTCAGCTCCAGGCAGCAAAAACATCAGCCTAAAGAAGAGCTATCACAACCAAATATACAGTTTGTAACCCAGGCTTGTTGTTATTTTAAATACTTGCACACGAATATAAAATATACAAAGTCTATTTTTACTGTACATCAAGAAGAAATTTAATGACACAGGAAAATCAATGAAATAGCAAACTGGAATCAGTGTCTTTTACTGTACATGGCACCATCAGCACAGAAAACCTTGTCTTCTGCTGTGCAGTAATGACTTCAGAGTACATGTCATATTGACCTAAGCACCTGTGGTGTTAGAAGATTAGAAAATTCAACCCAAGGGATCATTCCCTCCCCATATTTCTATTACACTCAAAAAGACACTGGATTCTTGTTATGGCTCTCCAGGTGGGAGAAGCAGGGAGGAATATACTGGGAAACAAAGGCACCGTAAGGAGAAACCACATCGACAAAAATTCATCTAAAAAGAGGAACTCAGACTTACTCCACATCTGCGGCAGACTGACTGAAGTACACGTTATTTCTTTGTTCTGAAATATACAAAGTGAGGTCCCTGGTCAGATCTTTTCCTAACTTCTTGCAAGGGTTCAAAGAGCTTTCCAAAACTTTTGAAATCATGGAAGAGCACTTGGTAAAACTGAGCGCTTCCACGACTGCCTTCAGCTCTTCCGAGCCTTGGCAAGTCCAGCCATCACTGGGCTTTTGACTAAACTCATCACAAAGGCCATTTTTGACCTTGCCATTTGTCCAGTTAAAGTCTTCGTTTTTACCAAATTCTTTCTGTTCCCTTAGATCAGGTAAAAGGGAATCTAAGAAAGACATATTATCCATAAATTCAGTTAGCGAATTTAAACAATGAGAAACAAGAGCAGGGCATTTTTGTTGGTCCAGAGTTTCAGGAGGAAGAGAAACAAATATGTTGGATTCCAAGGGTTTCTTCTTCTTCCCTTTTGCACTCAGTTTGAGGGCAGAGCTACTCTCTTCTGAGCTCGAGGGTGGAATGGCTGATAGCAAACCAACACCTTCATCGGAATAATTCAAACTAGTGTCAAACAAGTCGCTGTCATCCAATACGATCATCTTCTTCCGACGCCTCATCTTCTTGGTCTTTGCCAGAGAACTGCCTTCTTCAGAGTGCTCGGTATTCAGAGGATTCTCATTCTTCCTCGGCGGTGGGGCAGATAAAGTTTCAGGCAAAATACCAAGGTCTTTTGATTCTGGAATGATGTGAACTGGCAATGGCAGAATGAATTCAAGATTATTATACAAAAAATCAACATTCTGCTTTTGGAATTCGGTGAGGAGCTGAATGAGTTTATTCCATTCTTCACGTGTTGTGATTTTATGCTGAAAAACAAGTATATGTTAAGAAATGTTTACATAATCATGACATTTACAATTTTCAAATTTCCTACTAATATTAATAGCAGGTGTGATGTTAGTGCACCTTCACGAAGCTGGACTACTTCTTTCTACCATATATTCCTCTTCAAGCCAACAAAGAACTGTGGCTTGGCCCTAATTTTTGCCTGGTTTTTATCTCATGATGAAGAATGAGCATTGCTCCACAGACTCCACAGTGATCAGCCAATCTATGTTAAAGTGAGGTTTGTGTTCCTTGCAATGACTTTTCATCAGAAACATCACAGCTATTTTATTCTAAACACTCTAGCTCTGAGATACAACCTTGGAAGAATAAATGACTAGAGGGGAAGCTTTTAATATGGCACTAGTTGTAAAAGTCAGGTAAACTGTTACAAAGAGAAACTGAAGACCTAAAAATTCAGGTGGGGGGAGCAAGGAGAAGAAAAGAGTGGACTCAAGTTAACATGATGGTTCTGAAAGTACCTTTATAAAGGAAAACAAATCCTCAGATGGAAGGACTATGTTCTTCACGCCAAGCAGACTCTCTGCACAGCCAATGTCACACTTTGGAAGGTCGGCAGGATCCTTGTGAGTGTGGGGCCGGTTTTTAGGGCAAGCGTCAGTTTGAGAGCAAATGAGTTCGGCATTCCCCTCACTCTCTCCTATGGGGTCACAGTTTAAGAGGATCTGTTATTGTTTCCCCTCAACAACTGCATAATAACAAACCATCACTTCAAAGTGAGGCCATGCTTAGCCACACTCTATTAACCCACCCTTCTACACCTACACACACACATACTTTATTCCTCCCTTGATAGGCCAGCTATATATTATTTTTTAAAAAAAGTCTTTGATATAGTAAACATTATTTTTGAAAAGACTAAACATTATTTTAATTTTACAAATAAAAAAAGTAATGCTATTAGTATGACAATCATTCATGGCTAATGTTACAACAACTATCCTAGAAAAATGAAGAGGGCCTTTAAAGTGATCTACTGTATGGATATAGATTGTTCACCAAATTTTAAAAGGCAACCAGGTGTAAAGGAGGGTGTCTTAACCTGAGGTTCAGATCACTGCATTTCAATATAATTGGTTTCCTTTGTAATCCTATGTTTTATTTTGTGCATTTAACATTATTCTGAGAAGGGGTCCACAGCCTTCACCAGATACTGCCAAAGTGGTCCAGGACACAAGAAAAGTCAAGAATTCCCAGGTGAGGGAAAAGCACTAGATTTTGAATCAGGAGACCTAGGTTTCAACCCTGACTTAATACTTAATGTGATTTAAAGTCTATGAGACTTAATGTCCTCATCTGTAAAATGGGGATCATAAAATGCATACTATTTAGCTCACAGAATTGAGTGGAAAAGTGCTTCAGAAACCTCAATGCATTATGATAATGAGTTATTATGGGTATTCTAGGACTATTTCTTGAAGCCTGACGAAAAGTTTTAAAGCCAGATACCAAATACTATCTTACATAGGAGTGAACTTGTAGAACTTACTACCAAGAGAAACTGAACAATCTGAAAATATAAACGGATTCAGTAAGTCTTTTAAGATCCTTTCTGGACATTTGGTGAGTAATCATAATTCTGGTATCGGTATTACAATTGTGCTTTTCTATAGAATGTCCTTTGATGCAATATAACATATGACATAATAACAGACTGGATAAATTGTTGGTTTGATTCAATATGGGTTACACTCCTACCCATAACTTTTATCATCCATCTCATTCCACTTTAACATAATACAAAATATAAACCACTTAATAATCTCTTCTTGAGTAAGCCATTTCCATCATTTGCTAGAAATCTGGTTCAAGATTCCTCTTTCTGCCAAGAAGCCTTTCTTAAGGAATCCCACCTTTGTCCAAGGTTTCTGCACACAGTAGACTATATGGAATCACTTTTGTGTTAAAGTTGCTTCCATCAATCTCACATATAAAAAGTCTGACTTCCCAAGTAAATGTTAGAAGTCTTCAAGGGCAAGGACCAGCTCTTATTTATTTTTTAATTCCAATCATGCCTATTATGGGCAATATTTGATTATTAACTAATTTATTTTACTCTGAGGTTTCCCCTGTAAGTTTTATCCTGTTCACCTATGAAGTGAACACTTAATAAGCTCAACTTATTCCAAGACATACAGGGCCCTCCCTTTACGAAAAAATCTGAATTTATTAAAGATAAATTAAGAGGTGATGTTAACATTTCAAAAGTTTCACTTTAATGACCAAGTGTGGGCCCAAAGGAAGAGATATGAGAAGGTACCTCACTCATTCTGCTTCTTTGCAAAGGTAGAGCAGCTACAGGTGTGGTACAATGCACACAATGTTGGACATTTTTGATAACTTGTTCAGTTTTTACTGAACTATCTTTTTTTAAAAATTCTTTGTTATAAGAGATGACTTTCTGAGTGGGGGAAGAAGAAGAGGTACAATGAGAAATCTAAGTGATATATAACTAAAGGATATCAATTAAAAAACTTTTTAAACACTTCAAGTCGGATACCTCAAAACAAAATATTTTAAGCATATTTAAGTGTTATACAGAAGATTCATTTATTCAAAGAGAGACTGGGAAACTTATGTTTAAATTTAAAGCTGAGTATTAGGAATCAATGCCATCTAAACATCAGTGAGAAATGCAAAAAACATCACTGTAACAATATTAACGGTAGCAAATGCGAGGAAGGAGAAACAAAAAGATTTCACTTTAAAAAAAATCAACTTAAATGTAACTTTTCAGTAACATCTCTACTATGCCAGGGGGACATGTCTAGCCTGGTACTTTGCACATAGTAGGTACTTAATAAATGATTACTGATTCAGTTTGTCTTAGATGATAAAAGGTGATAAATGATGGCTGAAATAGATTATATTATCAACTGCTTATAATGTCCATACTTACAGTTGGACACATCTTTTTAAACAGATCAACCCACCATGAAGTGATAATGGTTTTTCTTTTAAAAATCCACCTCCACTTCTAACCCAGAATTGTAAGTAGAGAATGCTTCTTCTGATATCACAATTATTAACAGTCAGCAAGGTGATAAAGTCTTTTACGTCTGTTCTTAAATTTTCTGCCAAACAGAGTGTCTGTAGATAGCTGGCAACGTTGAGCTACAAAGTGTAAAAGAAACATATAAAAAAGATTTTCCAATTAAATAGTTTCTAAAAAAAAGTCCTAAAAATAATAGCAATATCACAAATGCTTATTATCATAAGAGTAAAAAATTGAATTTGTGAGTTTTCCTAAAACTCAAAATATCTCCAAAGTTCTTTCAAGTAAAGAAATTGCTTTAGAAGTAAATATTCAGGAATGTGGTTTTATAATTAAAAGCGTATGATACCACAAAGAAGTGATATGACAAGGCAGCTCCCTGAAAACAGAAGCAAGGCCAAAAGGAATCACACACAAGCAGAACAGCCTTGAAAGTTACAAGTTGAATTTGTTATATACTTAAAAAGGAAAGCCAGCTTGACATAAGGGATTCCCAGTTGCAAGTACAATGCTCTCCTCTTCCACATAGCACATGGAAATACTCATTTTATTGGGTATTCATAATAAATTTGAAAAAGTACATCCCTGCCTCCCCACACACTCCTTTGCAGAGGTGGGAAATTAAGGGTATGAATAACGCAAATATTGTTAGACTTTTCTGATATCTTGTTTAGTTTTACTAAACTGTTTTTTTCACCATTCTTTTAAAATTCTTGTTATAAAGGATGACTATCAGAAAGAGAGGGTAACAGACATTAAGAAATGAAAGTGATATAAAAACAAAAGATTTCATTAAAATTTATTTTTAAAAAATGTGACTATACATTGCTGAAGCAAGGAAACTTTCCTCATTTGTTTGGACACCGTCAACATGAATCCGACCCCCTACAGAACTCCTAAAAAAAAAGCCCTCCTAAATACATAAATTAAGTTTCAGTTTATATATATTTAAAACTATGCAAAACTACTTAAGAGAATCCTTTTCACCCTGATTAGAGCTCCATAGTAATAACTGAATTTGCAAAATTTTACAAGGCTCAGTTAATACATTTTATTTACTAAGAGCTCTAAACAAGGTAATTATGATCAAACAATCTCTTCTAAAAAATTTGAATTTTGTTGAATGTTTTTGTTTGTGGACAGGAAGTTCAGAATTTTTTAAAAATCTAATTTCTATCTCTGGTCATAGATCTTCTTGTACAATATACCAATAATTCTTTTGAATCTATTTTAAAACACATTACCATATGAAAAGAACAGTTTGTAAGCTGAGTTATCTGGATTGGAGAGGAGCCTCTCCCCTCCCCCCAGTGTCACCTAAAGCTTTCAGGTCAATATTCATCAAGTAAGAAGCCCCTACACAAATAATAAATGCAATTTCCTTTAACCCACAAGCATGCAGAAGGCAAAACATTACTGGAGAGAAGTGTCCTGAATTTTATGGAAATGCTGGTGTCTTTTTAAATTCATGTGACTAAAAAGACCTTTTGCTTTTTGTTGGACCAGACAACTGCCAGCATCTCTTCCAGTTCTGACATTTTCTGATATCCTACTACATATAATATGCCGTGTTCACACTGTCATGCAAACCTTATGATTTAAAAAATACAACACATACCAAGGAGGGAGTTTTAAAGTTGATTTCCTGAAAGCATCCATCAAATGTTAAACTAAATGTTGGATCTGCAAAAACAAAGTTCTTAAATTAAGTTATCAATAAATTGGATATAGGTAGAGATAGCCAGCTTATCAGATGTGCAGAGGACACAGAGCTAGGTGAGATGAAACATCAGGCTAGAATATTGGGCTGAAACCGGTAAGCTTACATTTATCCTTAGTAAGTTTTAAGTCTTACATCTAGGTTCCAACATTTAACTTCACAAATGTAATATGGCGGATACACGAAGAGACAGTTCATCTAAAAAAGACCTGGGATTTTGTCAATCAAAAGTGTGCTCAGGCAACCAAAACTAAATGCACGAAGAGAGGCCTCGTGGCCAAGAGGAGACAGCCAACACTCTCGCAGCCTTGCTATGCTAGTGTTCCAGACCCTCTCTGGAATGCTGTGTTCACTTCTGGGCATGCTATTTCTGGGCGCACCATTTTTAGGAAGGCAGAGATAAGCTGGAAGTGACCAGTGTGGTAAAGTAAAGGACTTGAGGTCTTGCCATGTGAAAGTCAGCTGAAGGAAGGGGAGGGCTTTCCTCTAGAGCAGAGAACTCCTGGGTCAGGATGGGAGGTGGGGCACAGGAGAAGGGATTAGCTGTGTTCTGCTTGGCCTCTGAGCTGCTGTGGTAAGGAGCCTGGTCCACAAGCAGGCTGGATGAAGGACATTCCAATTCTGAGATTCTTCCGAATTCTAAAACAGCAGCACAGGCACTGGGCCTTTCAGGATGTACTTTCGTCATTAAAATACAATCTTTTCAGGAACTGAAATGCTCTTTATAACTTCACGTGTTAAATCACTGGCAACTAATAATAACACTGGTTACCTACATATTGCTCTAAAGTTTACAAAAAGCTTCTCATTCGATCCTCCGACAGGGAAGTCAGGCAGGGCGTGTATCACTGCATCGTGGATATGGAAAGTGAGATTTACTCAAAGCCATGCTGCTAAGAACAAGACAGACCAAGGTCTCAGGGATCCCAATCACAGGCTCTTTCCAGTTTTACCCCAATGACTCCACTCCTCCCTGCATGACTTTTCACCACTAGGGATGTAGTACAAAGAACACCAGATACAGATCCATGAATATATTAAAGGGGAAAAAAAATCCCACTAAGCAATTAACTTCAGGATAGATTTCCTAACTGAAAAGAAATGCATTGCCCGAATATTCTAAATCAACATAAACAAATTTTGCACAAGTCAGTTTTACCTACCACTTGTAGTAAGAATCACAGGCCTCTTGGTTGTTGCCATGAATGTCTTGATTGCATTTAGAAATCCAGCATCTTCATCAAATATCACATCAACCTAGGAGACATGCGCTGCTGTGAATGCCAAGTCCGGGGACAAGGGGATGACAGTTATTTTGTAAACAGTCACATATCTGGGTTGGATTAGATGATCTCTATCAGCCTATACTATAAAAGGCCTTTTCTAAGTTATACAGTAAAAGTATAAGCTAATTATTCTATATTAAACTAAGAAAATGCAAAGCCTTCTAAATAAAAAGTTTAGGCTCATTCAGAATATTTTCTAGCAGTAGGGGGCAGCTAGAGGGCATGTAGGGGGGATGGTGGATGGCTCCAGGCCTAGAGTCAGGAGACCCAAGTTCAAATCTGGCCTTGCACACTTACTAGCTGTGTGACTCTGAGCAAGTCACCTAATCCCAAATGCCTCCCCCCCCCCAAAAAAAGAAAAAAATACTTTCTAACATCCCTGAACTAGAATACAGATTGATGATATTCCAACTCCACAAACGTTCATTAAGTGTCAGACATTATATTCAGTGCTGGGGAAACAAGCAAAAATGACAACAGTCCTTACCCTCAAGTAAATTACATTTGACTTGGGGCAAACAATGTGTAACCACATAAAGACAAAAGAGTATAGAGGGCTGGGTACTTCAAAGGCCAAGGGCAAAAAATGCCAAGGGGTGCAGAAGGAAGAGCAAATGGGGAGATTTAACTGGCACGAGGCTGTGAGGGACTTTAGATGACAGAGGCATTTGTATTTTGTCAAAGAGGCAATAGGGAGCCAGAGGCTCACTATTTTTTACAGGAGGGTGACAGGGTCAGACCTGCTTTTGAGGACTAGCAAGGTGGCAGCTGTATAGGAGGTGAATGGGGCAAGGGCAGATTAGAGGCAAGGAGACCACTGAACAAAAGGGTGCAATGAAGGGACCAGACAAGAGCAAACCAGGCATGGCACCTGAGTGGATGTTGGGGGCCACTGGATGAGGCCAAGGGGGAGAGGTGCAGGATGGCTCCAAGGTTGTGAACCTTAGCGTCTACAAAGACGGCCCCTAAGCAGTGCTCAGACAGACAGATGACGGCTAAGAGGAGAATAAGAGAGCATATGGAGACACAGGTCAACAAGGCCAAATGCTGCAGAAGTAAAGGAGGAAGAGGAGGAGGAGGAAAAGGATGGAGAAAAGGCCACTGGATTTAGCAATTATAAGATGGGTGGTGACTTTAGAGAGAGTGGTTTTAATTGAGTGGTCGTCTCAGAAGCTAGACTGCAAGGGATTGAGAAATGGAAGAAATAAATGGTGTGTTCTTGTTTTTTTTTCCCCCAGAAGCTTGGCTGTGAAAGGCAGGAAATACTTTCATTTTAGTGCCCCCTCTTCAAAAAAATTTATTTCCTTAGGATTTGATATTTTCATTTGCTTTAAATAACACAATTTCTGTGTGTTTAATATATTACAGATATTTATATTTTTTCTATTTAGATACCATTTGTAATGTAAAAATGTAATCTTTAAATTTTCTATGTTCAAGTGTTTAGCCATAAAACAAAGGCATCAATATTTCTTTCTGTGGTATTAGTAATTCATAAATCTATGCCCTTACCTCCTCAAAAAGAATGAGAGATGTTGCATTTTTCCTGCTGGATTCCTCAGCTCCTAATTCCTTGACATTTGAGCTGGAGATGTTTGTCCATTTTGTTTGAGTGTCTTGTTTCTCCTCAGAAGAAATAATTTCTACATAGATGTGATATAAGCATATCATAACATTAACAGAGAACTGTTCCAATAGAATTAATTTGTTCTCACTGAATAAACTAATAAAAATAGAACTAAGTTATCAAAATGCCTAGAAATAGAATCTACAGAGTATCTGGGGTTTAATAAGTAACTCCTAGGAACTTAAAGAATATGTTTCATAATCTCTTTCTAATGTGTTGATGATACATCCTTTTGACTTGTATTTTGCTATTATGAATTCTTACCTTTATTATTCTTCTGGGGTTTCATCACTTCATTATTACTTTGTTTGGAAGACACCTTAAAATAATTTGCCGAAGTTTTGGGGGGGAGTCCTCGCTTTGCAACTCTTGGTGAAAGTGGAGGTTTCCTTGGCGATGTGAGAACTTTCTTAGGTGAGTTTAATTTTTCTACCAAAAACAAATATTATTTTAATCTTATTTAAAATTAATACTTCATGAGTTAAACTGTAGGTTGGAGTTCTCCATATCCCGTATCAACCTTGTATCAGATGAAATTATTTCAATCCCAGTCTACTTTAACTGTCACTTAAAGCACAATATGGGAAGATAGGGGAGAGGAGAAGGGTGTCAGAGCAGAACAAAGGACACTATTTAAGTGCAGTTTATGAATGCACTTTATTTTCAAGGTCAAAGAAAACTGTAGGCCACAAGCACTTCTTTTGGGTTAAGGTTATACAAAATGTTACAGTGGAGACTCAAAGGTAGAAAGCAATGCCTAGATCAGGGGTGGAGAACCTGTGGCCTTCAGGCCTCATGTGGCTGCAGTCAAAGGGCCGCACTTGAAGACCTGGAGGGCCACATGTGGCTGGCCTCGAGGCTGAAGGTTCCTCACTCCTAGCCTAGATGATGTATTTTTCTTTTTTTCTTTTTTGGGTTGTACCATGTTTTTTAATTTTTTTAATTTTTTAAATTTATTTTGATTTATTAATAATCACTTCCATACGCTTTTGAGTTGAAAATTTTTCTCCCCCTTCCTCCCCCCCACCTTCCCCATGATGGCGCACAATCTGATATAGTCTTTACATTTACATACCCACTAAACATATTTTCACATTAGTGAAGTTGTAAGTAAAAATTAAAACCAATAGGAGGAACCACTAGATGATGTATTTTTCAAACCTCACCCAGGAGAAGCCAATGATTTGTCCAGGCTCTCTTCAAAATGGAAGAATTCTCTTTTGTTTTTAATATTCACATTTCCTGTACTATTATACCGTATTTATTCTGTCTGTGCATAACAGGAAATCTGTCATTTTAAAAATACATTCTTTTATGAAGATTAGTTTTGTCCTTTGAAACAAAAAACAACAGTGCCGAAACCTGCTGCTTTTCCCTAATCCTTCCAGAACCCGATTTGTTGCAGAATCACATTGTCCAGCTGCCTCCTGGCCCACCCTGCTGCTAATCAACCTTCTAAATTTATCTCTCATGAACTTCCTAGCATATTCAAGGCCACAGCAATTCTGCAGGCAGCTTCCTACTTTCTCTTCTCAAGCTTTGCCTCCTGCACATCCTTTGCTTTCATATGACCATTAGAAAAATCTAGTGGGAGGCCCCTCCATATCCCCCTTTTCACTTGAACCCATCATTATCCATTCAATCCATCCTCCCCTTTCTCTCCAGGAAGATGTTCCTCAGAAGCCTTGTCTTGAAAGCTGTCATGCCCTCCTGGCTCTGAATCCTGGAGTCCATCTCCCCCGTCCTTTACCACTTCATTGCCACAATTACTCCTTCCCTTTCCATTAACTTCCACCTCACCCTCTCCACAGGCTCATTTCCTTCCACCTTCAGAAGTGCTCGGATCTTCTTTATGTTAAAAGAAATCCTTTCTGTTGGCTAGGACCTCAAGAGCCTGGTCAATCTGGCTTCCTGGAAGTAGTGAGAGCCTATTGGCCCATTACATGCCCATAGAACCGAAGTTCCTGGAGGGTAGGGATTAATTTTTGATTCTGCACCCTCTACCACATTGCTTTATGAGGGTCAGTGCCTGCTGCCAAACTTCTCAATCTATGGTTTTCCACTGCTCCTTTCTATCCACTCATCCCTTCTTAGTCCCCTGCAATCAGCCTTCTATGGGATCCACTCTCACAGCGATCCTTCTCCAAACCAATAAATCCACCTGAGGCCTCTCCCACCCACAGAGTTCTAAAATTTTCTCCTGACCAGTGGCTTCTGATCTAGCAATTCCCTGGTTCTCCACTGCCTATCTTCTCCTTCTCCTTTGCTGGCTTTTCCTCCTCTGCGGCTATCTTTAATTTTCTAACTTCTCTCTTTATATTCACTCCCAAGCTGAGCTCGTCCATTCTCATTGTTTCAGCAACACATCTGTGCTGAGGACTTCCAAACCTACATTTCCAACACAGACTTTTCCAAATCCTTTCCCTCTTTCCTTTCCCTAACCCATGAAGGCAAGAAAAACAAAACCTGTTACAAATACATAGCTGTGCAAAGCAAGTTCCTGCACTGGCCAGGTCCAAAAATAGAAAGAGAAGGAAAGAAGCTTCCATCTGCACCGGGTCCATCGGCTCTGTCTGAAGGTAGATAGTATGTTTTATCATAAGCCCTTTGGACTCCATGTTGGTCACTACCAACACTGACTTCTCATATGCACTTTAGGCCCCATTTTCTAATTTTTATTAGACACCTCCACATGGATGTTGTGCCATCACCTAAAGCTCAACACATTCCAAACAAACCAGCTCCACTTCTTAAAACATTCATTTCTTCAATGTTGTGTTTCTCTCTGTCTTCCAAGATGAAGATAATAAAAATGACAACCCTTAAAAGTCTGTAAAGTGCTTGGTGTATCATCTTGACAAAGCCTCACAACAACCTGGTAGGGTGGGTACTAGAGATAATTATGGTACACCTTTCAGAGATGAAGAAACCATGGCTTAGGAAGCTTCGATAATGTGCCCATGGTCACCTTGTACCAGAGAAGGGAAGCTAATCCACACACTTCAGATTCCAAAGCCAACACTCTATCCACTAGGCTATGCTGCCAATGTAGAAATAAAAGGCCTTGCTTGATTCTGCCTTCTCCTGTATAATCACCAGGCCCACCATCTTGTGCACAGTTGCCAGACTCTTTGGTAAAGCACAGCTTTCACCATGAAAGTCTCTGCTTAATTATTCCCACCTGTCTCTATCGCCACAAATCGAAACATTTTTGTTTAGCTTTCAAGCCTTTTAATAATCTGGGTCATATTTTATACCAGAAAACCATATTTCTTAAAGTTCTTCAATTATATACACTGCATTCTGGCCAGTTTGGGACATACCATATTCTTGTTCCCTCCAGCTCACTGCAGCACCACCCCCAGTTATCATTCCCCCAACTCTACCCATCAAAATTAAAGCCTATTCATCCTTTATTATTATTAATATCAAGTCCTATTATCTTTTTCAAGATGCCATGTCTAACCACTCCAATTCACATTCTTATCTTCTTTCTCTTGAATTCCTACTGGACTTAAGAGTCAAGACCACATGGTTGAATTGCTCTTTAATTGTTTGGGGGTGCACTATTTCTCTCCAATGAGATCTTAACTTCCTTGAGGTTAGGAGTACTCTCTTCTTCGCGTTTCCATCCCTCGCCCCCATCCCACCACCACAATCTCCAGCAGCTCCACTGACATACAGTGATGCTGCCTGGCGGCACCTTGCTAGTGTTCTGATAAGATTTTCAAAGGATTTTTCTTTGAAAGGCTACATGCAGTGCTTGCCAATACACCATTTACTTACTTGGTGATCTGCCTACGCTGTAGTTGTTAAAGAAACAAGGCTTATGTGAATTTACACCTTGCTTGTCCACTTGATGAGACTGAGTAGCTTCTTTGAGTTGAGAGAGAATTTGTCTACCACTACGTTGGGAAGAAGCATTAACTTCAAATATCTGTTAAAAAAAAAAACAAACCATGAAATTTAAAAAAGAGGGAACTGAGAATGTGAAATCTAAGATAACTCTTACACTCAGATTTTCAAGTACTTGAAATGAACCTTAAAGCCAAGCTCTTGAGCACAAGCATATACTGCAGCAGTCTTCCCTACTCCTGGTGGTCCCATGATAAGAACAGTGTTGCAAAGGGAATTCTCTTCCTCATCATCAGAAATGTCCTTAAAATCCATGCTGAATGAGAGATCTGGAAATATGAACAAACGCATACATACACGATTGGCAAATGATCAATCATCACTAGACAAGACATTCAAGTTTATATTTATTGTACGTAAGCAGGGACTTTCAACAAACAAATTAAATACCCTGAAATATTAATTATAAATCTAAATTAATTAATTGCTAGCCTAAGGGACAGCTAAGGGTCGAAGTAGACAGAGTGCTGGGCCTGAAGTCAGCAAGACTCATCTTCCTAAGTTCAAATCTGGCCTCAGACGCTTATTAGCTGTGTGTCTCGGGTAAGTCACTTAACCCTGTTGGCCTGAATTTCCTCATCTCTAGAATGCGCTGAAGAAAGAAATGGCCAGCCAGAAGGAGCCATGAAGTTGGACACGGCTGAAAATAACTAAACACGAGAGTAAAACTCACAGCTCCACAAAAGGGGAAAAACCTTCATTCATACCTTGTTCTTTGTCATCACTTCTGACTCTCAAATTTCCTTTCTCTTCCCATTCAGCTCTTCTTTTCCAGTCTTTCAACCAACTGTGATAAGAAAATATGAATTATTGGGGCAGCGAGGTGGCGCAGTGGATAGAGCACCAGCCTTGGAGTCAGGAGGACCTGAGTTCAAATCCAGCCTCAGACACATAACACTTTACTAGCTGTGTGACCCTGGCCAAGTCACTTAACCCCAACTACCTCACCCAAAAAAACAAAAAAAAAAAGAAAAGAAAGAAAGAAAATATGAATTATTTAAAATAATCCACTGGTTTAAATATCACAATATATATTAGGATGAATGTGAAAGATGCATTATTTTAAGTCTTCAGAAACACTCAAAATGTTTGTGAAAATCATGGTAAAACATTTTTAAACCAACACTATCAATAACTTTCAATATTACAATTGGTCTCAAATGATCTCTCAAAGAAAATGTTACCAACCTATGTAACTTCTGAATTGCTATTTCATTGTCTATGAGTTCACTGGAGTCCTGAGGTTGGTATTTTTCTGTCCAGAGTACATCCTCAATTCCAGACTCTGAAAGCAAAACATTTTGCATGTATCAGGCGAATCATTTCTGTTTGAAAATGAGAGGCAGACTGAAAACTTCAAATACTGACATCTCTATGGATATATTTTTAAATCAAGCAACAACAAACACTGCAGCAAAAAACAACACAAACCCTAATTCCTCAGATTGAGGCTAAAGAAGTCACTGTTTAATGACATCCCAAAAAATGAGGGAAAGTTTAGCTCTAAACTACAAAGTACAAGCAAACGGCCCAAAGAACTCTTAAACAGAAGGGGGAGAAAGAGCGCGCAAGTGAGGGGACTTCTGGCTGCTGTAAGAAGAGACGCCGAAAGGTTCCGAATCATTGGGGGACATTACCAGTGCTGGACGGTCCCTCTGATGGAAATGTCTTCTCTTCTTCTATTATCACGACCTCAGAACCCTGGCCTGGGCTCTTTGCTTCCCTACATGTCACACTTCCCGAAGCCCCATGCTTTTTCTTGGAGGTTCTGGAGCACTGGCCTGGCCTGGCCTCCCTCTTGCCCTCGGGGAAGTCCTTCGCCATTAGGTCCTCATCACATTCGCCTGGTTTTCTTCTTTTTGATTTGTGGTTTTCACTCTCTCCTCTTTTCCTCTTGGCTTCCCTTTGACCGTCAATGGATTTTATTTGTGGATGTCCTACATGAGAGTTTAAAAATAACACATCTTTAACAAGTGACAAAAACATAACTTTAATATCTTAAAAACATTCAATAAAATAAACCTATTACAACAGGCGGCACAGGTAAACCTTGGATGCTGTGCCCTGAAATCTGCCTGCAGAACTTCTTTTTTTTGCACAAATGACCAATCAGACCCTACCAGAGAACTGCCTGACAGATGCTCAGTAGCACCGCCAAGGCCCTTTCTTCGTGCCCCGCCTGCTGATGCCCCCGGTGCAATGACTGCTTCTGACGGATGGCGGGAGGCTTTTCTTTAAAGACAATAATTGTTCCCAGGAGAGCTCTTTGAAAAATGCAATTTCAATATAAATCATAAGAAGAATTACAAGAGGTCACTAACCTTGTTTATTCTGACATCCAAAAAGTGCCTGGTGCTCAATTCGCTTTTTTAAAAACTGTGTAAAAAATCTTTTTAAAGGAAACTGAGGATTAGACCATCTAATTTCCTCCAGCAAAATCTTCTTTATTTCTTCTGTAAAATCTTTTCTTGCTCCCAACAACTGCAATATAATGTAAAATATTTCATGAAAGGGGGCAGCTAGATGGCACAGTGGATAGAGCACCGGCCCTGCATTCAGGAGGACCTGAGTTCAAATCCGGCCTCAGACACATAACACATACTAGCTGTGTGACCCTGGGCAAGTCACTTAACCCCATTGCCTAGCCAAAAGAAAACAAAACAAAACAAAATATTTCATGAAAGTTCCATTTTAATGATTTTTATTATACTATATATTAATACCAACGTAGCCCTGGAAACCAAATCCTCCCCGTGAGAGAAGCCAATAACAATATATAAACTTTTCTGATGAGTTTGTGTCAAGCTTTAGTTGAGCTTTTACATTCATATTATTACTGTTTTGCCTTCTAATCTGCTGGTAATTTCCCAAGGTATTATTGAAGACATCTAAATTCCAACATAAGTACCACATTTGAAAAGGAATTCAAATCGGTAAGTACCTACTACTCAACTATTGGTGGGTATATGGCAGGCACTGTGGACATAAAAACAAAACTAGTCCCTGCCTTCAAAGAGCTTACAGTCTACTAGAAAAGTGGAAGCAGAAGAAAAAGAATTATATACTTAACCCTTTCATAATGGAAACAGTCTTCTAAAGGTAACAATGTTCTATAACACTAACCCCAACTGTAGAATTATTGGTGCTGGGTCTGGAATTCAGAGCTGAAAATTCACCCAGGGCAATGACGTGTTTGGTGACGTTGGTTACACTGCTATTCGGATCTTTAAGATCAGTTAAGAGAGGGCACGAAGGGGGTATCAAGCACCACAAAGGGTTCCCTAAAGGAAAAGCAGAAACAAGATGCTTTTACTTTCATTTCATACTAACCAAATGAATGTTTGTTGAGTATTATATGCACATGAAAAGACTTGAGAACAATTATATAGTAACATGCACATGCCTACAGGGTTGAATAAGTTTGCTAAAAGGGTCACTCAGTAGTTAAGTGTCAAAAGGTCAGAATGCATCACTTTCTGACTAATGTTCTCTTCTCCTCCCATGCTGCCTGTGTTTATTACTGTATTAAAATTTTCTGTGAAGTTGCTACAGATAGTTATAGTAAAACCACAGCCTCATCTTCTGACTTGTAAAGCAAATAAAAGAGGTAAAACAGGATATGCAATCCATACTGCTTAAAACTAGATACTAGGCAGATTAGCAAGATTCACCCCAACAGACAGGCTTACCGTTGTCCCGTTGCTGTATATGAACGACTCTCTGGAAACAGGAATTTATCGAAGAGTAGACTTCTAAGGCAGCTGCTTTCTTTGCAATATGGCGTTTCAATGAATCTGGCAAGCCACTCATGAGAAATTCACGCTTTGCTTTAAATTGCTCATCATCCTGGGAGTTTTCAGATACATCTTGACTTTGAACAAAATAAAGAAAAATAAAGAAAAAAATAACAAAAATTTTGGGATAAACTAAATAAATAATGAATGAATAAAAAGAGTGAAACAGCCTATTTTTCTTGCTAATTTCAACCAAATGCAAAATCGATCTCTTGAAAAGTCAGACATCATCAAGCACTTTTCTATTTCTAAGATAAACAACTGCTACCTTTATAAATTAACAGAACACTGGTACAGGACTATGCACCCTAATAAGTGAGTCAGTAGGACTTCTCTTCAGGTTCCTGGTTGCTGGAATTTGTGCAGTTGGGGTGACGTGCAGTCCTTATCTGCCTGCCTAGAACAGCTCTAAAATTCCTGATTCTTGGGTAGACAGATACGAGAAGGGAGGATGAAAGAGTGACCAGCTTCTGCTTTCCCCCCTCATTCTGCAGAAATTTGAGACGTATAGAAGAGAGACAGGTAAAGTGAAGAGAAAGAGGACAGAGCAGAGAGCAGCAGCTTGAAACTGAATGCTGATTTTCCAATGGGATGCAGATGATGCCACACACACAGGTAACTATGGGTTAGGAAAAAAAGTTCCACAGTAAATAAGGAAATGCTTAGGAATTTAAATTAAAATTAAGGTAATCCTGAGAAACATGTACTGACATTTCAGAATTTTCTATTGTATTCTTGTTTGTTTGGGGTTTTTTTGGTACTGTATTCTTTAAAGCACCATGTTAAAAAACTGCTGAGTTGGCCGGCTTACCTAACCTGCCTCCCAAAATGGGAAACCATAAGCAGGAAGGAACATAAGGATATAAAACCACAGAACTTTACTGCGTTATAACCCTGAACTGCTGACGATTAAAAACTTCCAAGAAAATGGTCACCACATAAAGAATGTTGTTGCTTTTTTTCCCTCTTTCTCTCTTAGACACTCAGATATCTTTCCAGTCAGTGAAAACAGCAGAATCAAAAATTAGTGGTAAATTCTTTATAGCCATTATTGCTGCAAACCTGATAACAACCTACATGTGCAAGCATGGAAAGACCTGCTAAAAGGGAACAAGAAACTTTCACACTTTACCATTAGTTAAAGCATAAATGGAACACTACACAATTTATATGCTTGAATCCTAAACACCACAAATATTTAAAAATACTTTGTACAAATTTTCCTAAGTTTTTTAACTTGCATGAGACTGACCTGTTATCATCGAAAATCACAATAGGTTCAGCTGTTTTCTGAGGTTTTTTGAGCAGGAACAGAGGAGCCACTTTTATTTTTCCTTGAAAGACCAAAAGCATAAATTAGCATTCATGTTTTCTATCCTTACTCATTCCCAAATGCTTTCAAAATTAGTTGCTTTCTCTCTTCCCTTTATTAGGAATAAACTGCTGTAACACACTAAGTGATGTCAGGTAGAAGATATGTGGATATTTAGTAAATCAGAATTTATCATGCTTCTACTTTTAAAGGTTCACCAATGGACAGCTCCTTTTCTTAGAATTATATTAAGTATGATTTAAATGGTAAGCTCCTCAAGAAGAGAAATAGCATTCATTTCTAAAAGGCATTACCAACAAAACCAAAAACTTTTAACATAAATATTCTCATGAAAGCAATATACCATGCAAATCCTTAGTAGTCTTGTTCGTTTTTTTCCCCAGCACATCATTCAAACACTGAATTTCCTTCTGTTTGTTCTCTGCACTCTGTGAAGAAGCAGGACTTGAATCTATAATTATAACTGAATGCTAAAATTAAATAACAAAGAGATTAAAGATATTTTAACCTATTACATGTAATGATCTGCATAAAATTTATATGTAGAATTTAAAAGTTGATTGAAATAATAAAAAACCCTCAATTGAACAAAATGTTCTCTTTCCCCCTCCCTTTCAGAATAGGCCTAGATGAAAAGAAAGCATTTAAACAGCTTCGTTTATACCACAGACTTTGGTGACTGGGAGAACAGATGCCTATTTTTGGAGGGTGGCAGTGTGGTCAAACATTATATCATTAAATGCAGTGCTGCAGTGTCCGGGTATGTGCAAAGATGTTATTTCCCATTACCACAATGATGTGGGTGAATGGCACGTGCACCCCAAGTATCCTATTTATGTCAGTAAGTCTCTGGAGCACACTTACATCTATCTCTGATAACTTTTTCCTTTCAGTAAGAACTTGTTGTCTAGAGGAACGCCGCAGAGGGGCTGACCCCTCTTCATTCATCTTTGACTTGCTCTGCTGTATGGCTTTGGCTTTTTCAATCAACTGCTTTGCCTTTGATATGTTTTTAGAAACACTGCTTGCCTAATAATAAAAATTCAAAACAAGATTCTGAAACATTATGTAATAAGTCATATAGAACATTTACTAAAGAACTCACCAGCTTTTAATATCAATAGGGATTTCAGAAAAAAAGATTTATGAATTTTTAACAAGTCATATTTCATCAAATTTTGGGTTCAATTATATTGGGCTGACCTTTATCATTTGTCTGAATTTGTTTGAATGCAGACAGTTTACTATTTGCAAATTTAGTTTCTAAATTTCTAACCAGAACATTAAATTCATTATATATAAGAGAATATTTCTCATTACCTTAAAGTTATCCTGACTTGGGCCACCAAAACCAGGAAAAGTACAAATTACAAATATTAAATACAATTAATCACTAAGCATTTATTAGGTGCCTACCATGTGCCATGCACCACAGATATAAAGACAAAAGTAGAATAAACCCTGCCCTCAAGGAGTTTACATTCACTTGGGGGAAACAACTTGTACTATTCGAGTATAAACAGAATACAGGGTAGTTTTGGAAGGAAGGGGAGTAGTAGCTGGGGAGTTCAGGAAAGGCTGAGTCTTGAAGGAAGTAAGCACTCTTATGAGGCAGAATGGAAGTATAAGAAAAGGAAAAGGAAAAATACCTGACCATCTGAATATTAAGGAAAAAAAATAGGGGCAGCTAGGTGTCGTAGTGGATAGAGCACCGGCCCTGAAGTCAGGAGGACCTGAGTTCAAATACGGCCTCAGACCAAACACTTGACTCTTACCAGCTGTGTGACTCTGGGCAAGTCACTTAACCCCAATTGCCTAACCAAAAAAAAAAATTTACACACAAAAACACAAGAGAAGGTAGTAAATTATAAGTGCTAATTGATGCAAACAGTGCTGTAGTTTAGACCTGAGAAGGAGAAAAAGAGAGAGAAAAGAAAAAAAGAGAGAGAGATCTCTTCTCTGGCTTAGGATTTGAGCTAAGTCTAACCAGATAGGCAGGACAGGTAGAATTTAGATAAATGGAGATGGGGGGGAACATTTTTGAACAGAAAGGTACAAGGCAGGAAAGCTCAGGCTGACTAAAGGACAGTGAGAAAAGAGATTTCTACATAGGAGGGCTGGACTATTAGATCAGAGGCCTTAATTGTCAGGCTGGGCTTTAACCTGTAAGACATGAGAGATTGACTCAAAGTTTTAAAGCAGGGAAGAAAGTAACCATGAAAGGGATATTTATTTATTTTTTTAAATATAAATTTGTTTATTTTTAGTTTTCAACATTCCCTTCCACAAGTTTTTGAGTTCCAAATTTTCACCCCATCTCCCCCCTCCCCCCACCCCAAGATGTCATGCATTCTGAATATCCATGAAAGGGATATTTAAAGACTATTTATGAAAACTTCAGCATCATGAAGGACAAACTGGAAAGGGGAGAGGACAGAATCAGGGAGACCCATAGGGACACTCTGAACTCATCTCTGAGGGTGGTAGCAGTGAGAATGGGAAGGGAAAAGATAAGCATAGGCTGGGCTTCAGAGGAAAGCAGCAGCAGAAAGGATTCTAAGCATGTGCCAGATTCCTAGGTCAGCCCACATTCCAAACTCTACTGGTTTTCATCACACTGGGTCAATGACAGGTGGGCCGAGGGGCGCCTGCTCTAAGCATGGCCAGCTCAAAGACAGCCTCAGAGAATGGGATCTGTGGGACTCAAAAACACTCACTCTCTTCTCACCCTTAGGGGCCAACTTTAAGTGGGAAAGAGAAGAACTAGCAGATGAGTATCAAAGTTGATTCCCAGAGGCTTCCCCCAATAATAACCAGCAGATAGAATTAATGTTGTTCAGAATGAAAATGCCTCTGGCTAAAAGATTCTGAATGCAAGGGAATGTTTCTAGGTAGTATAAAAATGACCAATTTGCCTAAGAGCATAAAGATAAGGTCCCCAAATTTGTAAACTGATAGAGACCATGTGGTAGAGTGAAAAGTTAGCCTCAAAGCCAGGAAGCCCTGGGTACAAGTACCATCTATGACCCGAAATGACTGTGTGACCCTGGACAAATCACTTAACTTGCTGGTGCTCTAGGCCATCATTGTCAAACTCAAACAGAAATGGGGGCCACTGATCCCCACATTAGGATACCTGTAGGCTGTATATTGACCTACTTTTAAAATATAATGCTATCTGTGTTTTGTTAGATTATTTCTCAATTACATTTTAATCTGATTGGGGTATACTGGGAAGTGTTGCAGGCAGGCAGGATGCTGGACACCTCTGCCAACTGTTTAAGACTGTAAACTGCATTGGTGTATTGGGAGAGTAAGAGTCTTCATCTGGGGGTTCCCTAAAACAATGAAATTATAGGTCCAGTCCCTATCCCTATTAAATGAGCCCTATTTTTCATGGGATAATAATAAATTTCTGAGCCAATAACCATACATAAGCTAAACATGAAAAAGGATGACTAGACAGTTATCTCAGAGGAAATCTTTGACCATTTCGGCCCTGTTATTTTTAAGGGATTTTACTATAACAATAAGATACTTTGACAAAACTAAAGGAGAAATATAAATGCTATGAAAAATGTTTCAGGATGGTGATTAATATAAATCTATAAAAATACACATTAATTTTCTTTCAACTTATTTCTGCCAGTGCTAGTTTTTAAAAAGAATAAACAGAAGATAAAACTTATTGAATTCTCTCATATTTAATTACCTTTCTACTCTTGGGAGTAAAATCATCATCTGTTTCTGTTTTCTTGGATTTGGGGGGTGAACTAATTCTGGTAAATTTCATCCTGAAAAAGGAAAGATGTCAAGAAACATTTTATTCATCACCATGTGAAAACCTCAACATCTGTTACAGAAATGAGCCAACTAGAGATTCAACTGGATTATAAAATAGGAAAACAAAAGGTGACTAATTATTTTCAAGCTGCCTACTCAGAAGAATTAAATTCAAGTAAGTCAAAACAAATTTTTGTTTGAAAAGATTTCAAAATCAGGACTTTTAAAAACATTAAATGATGTTGAAAACTACATATGTAATTGGGAAAAAAAATACTATTAAGAAAAAAAACCCACCACCACTAAATGAGCTTTAATGCAAGTCTGACCTTAAGGTCACTTTGTCCTATTTACCAGAAGGCATGCTTTTTCCTATTTTGATATAGCTCACCTATCCTACAAATAAGTGTCTACATTTTATTTCTAATCCAAATCTTAACTGCATAAAACTCATTATGTAAAAGATAGTAATTCTGAAACATTACAGCTTAGATACTTTGAAAAATAAAAACTTTATTTAAAACACATTTAAGTCTCCTAGGTAATGACACATGATCCATATACAAAATTTGTGCATTAAATGGTATTTTAAAGTTCCCTCTTCATTCTGTAGATTAGCAAGTTAGGTTCTAGGTGGGGGAAAAAAAACCTAAAAATAATTTATTATTAATAAGAGCTAATCTCTAGCATACAAAACACCTAAAGCATTCCAGGAAAGACAAGTTTTTACCTAATAGGGCTCTTTGAATCAAAGGGCACCGTTATCAATTCAGCCATATACAAGCCATGCTGTTCCAAAGATGTGCTGGCAGCTGCTTTAGTAGAAACCTTTCCAGGACCGTCAACTTGTGTATCTTCAGAATCGGTGTCTCCAATCATTACCATGGTTTTTTGGGAAGATTTTCTGGTCGATTTGGGAGTGAAATCATATCCCAGGCTATCATCTAAGACATCTTTAGGATATGTAATTCCCACACTCTTTACTGATGTAGTGATTTTTCTTGATGATTTACGGCTGGCTTTGGGAGTGGAAACATGTAAAGGACGGTGGCCTGAGACGTCTTCAGAAATGGCACTTGTAATGCTAAGAGAGAGAGCACTTTTGGAAGCTTCAGTTTTCTGTTGTCTCAGACTTCTTCTGATGCTATTTGGCCTTTGTTTAATATTTACATCACATGAGGTATTTTCTTCCTTAGCAGCATCCTCAGTTGCCAATATTCTCTTATGCTTTTTCCGGAGCTTTTTCCTTTTTCCTTTGGCTGGGCTTCCTTTAGGATCACAGGGCTGTGAACTGTCATTATTTGAATCTTTCGGCATTTTAGCACATTCTGTTCCTTTAACTGAGTCATCTTTACCCCCTTCCTCTTTCAAAGATTTTTCCTGAGCATCTTTCTGTCTTTCCAAGGATTTTTTAACTCCACTTTTAACAGCATCAAATGCAGGTTGTCTAAAAGCATTCATGAACTGCTGTCTTTCTTCCATAGTACATTTTGGCTTTGTGGATTCAGGGCCTCCAGCGTCTATCACAGCCAACTCTAATTCTTCCTCAGCTATAACTACATTGGATTTTCTTTTCTGAACTGTCTGTTCATTTTCGGGCTCAGGAAGATTATTTCCAATTTCACTTTCCTTTTGTTTCAAGAAAATTGATGGTATTTTCAGAGTCCTTTTGCCCTTTATCCTTGAAAGAGGCTTTGGTGGCACAGCATGGATTTGTGCAAGGACAGTCACTGTTTTAAGGGGCAGATGCTGGGAACTTTCACTGGTTTCAAGATCACTAGTGTTCCCACTCTTACCAACTTCATTGGCAGAATCAGAATGACTACGAGCTGACATTTTGGGTCCTTGTATGCACTCCAATGGGTTTTCTTCCTGACTTCTTAAAAATTCCTCATAAGATACAGTTACTGTATTATCATTTACCTGGGCTGTCTCAGACACACAAATTCCAGGGCTGGAATCACTTACAGGATCCACAACTTCACCAGTTTTCCACCTGGCTGCTTGCTCATTGTCTGAGGGTTGCTTTTTGGATCGCTGGCCGGATTCTTTTTCTAATGATAAACTTCTAGTTAAGTCTTTATCATCTTTGTGCTTCCTTTTCCTTAATTTTTTGCTGTGGCTTTTTGTGATACTTCGTTCAGAGTTTACTTTCTTTCTATCTTTTAGAGAGGACACAGTGCTTGATTGCTTTTTGTTACTGTGACTACCTTCTGAGATGGACTCTACATTTTTCAGGGTAAGTGAAGCAGAAGTATCATTCTCACTACCCACAGAAACGTTATGTAGGCTGGCTTCTTCTCTGCTGTCATCACTACTAATTATTATGGGTTCATTTTCCAATTTTTTAATATCATTCAGTTGTTGAGATAAATTAATTTTCTTTCCCCTTGACTTAGGCTCTAAATTGGAGGGATTGTTCAAAAGTATTTTCCATTCTTTGCTATCATCAACATGCAATGGTTTAGATGACTGTATCTTGCACTCTTTAGCTACAGAAGGCTTTTCATTTATGGGTGAAGTCCTTTTAAAGTAATCCAAGATGTTATTAGATTTTGGTGGGGAGAAAACTTTGTCTCCAGTTTTCCTTATTGGTGACATATATTCAGTAATGGTTTTACAGGAAGCTCCATCATCTTCTTTCCTTTGCTTCTTGCATGGCTTTAAGTTTAAAAGAAAAGAAAAAACATGTAATTGGGGGGAAATAAAATATATAAAAAAAGAAAATAAGTCTTACTTATAATCCTAGTGAAAAGAAATTTGCATTTTTATCTAAATAAACAAATGAAAGAATGAAGAAAAAGATTTTGAAAAATAAAACCCACTAATTTACGTATATCAAATAAGGAAACTATCCAAAAAATAAGAAAATATTAGAAATACCTAGAACAAAGCAACTTACATGACTTATGGACTGTTTTAGGGGGAGACATTTGCCCCAACTTCAGTCTTTCTAATTGTTATCTTTCAAAGCAGTGGTCAACCTTCTTGCAACACAGTAGTTTTTAAGGAGGGATCTGAAATAATGTGTATCTTTTCGTGCCTAGCATAAATCAGTAATCTGGTTATTATATTTAATAGAAACCAGACATCACAGTATTGGTAGCTCACTTAACCTTTTTGTTTTCATGTTTCATCCAGAATCTTTAAAGTTCTGTTTCACCAAGTTCCAAGTATTTACCAAACCCTTTTTTTCCAAGAGTTTTTAACAAGAAGCAAAACTATGAACCAAAAATTCTTTTCACCATGTCACATTTCTTCAAAAGTGTAAATGCTAGCTGAGTGTTCAAAAGAAAGGCAGCAGATGGGAAGAAACACAGAGCTTGATTCATCACTTACTTAATTTAAGTGAAGCTGATGTCTAGAAACTCATGTATGTTCACCAGAAGGAAAGCAATTACTTGCCAAATACTTCATATGCAACTAAATGTACAGGTGTGACAGGTCAAATGGAAAGACTGTCACAGTTTCCACGTCACAAAAGTCAAGAAATGTTCTTCTCATTTACTGTCAGAATTCAAAATCCCCTAGAGATATTTCACTAAGAACAAAATAGTCCAGTACTTCAGTCACCACCGAGTGACCACTTGGTAGCCGGTCCACCGTCCTCCCTGCAAAGTTGTCATTTGTGAGAGAAGGGGGAAACTCCAAAGGCCACTTCTGTCATTGTCCCCATCACCGCCACGGCCAGACTTCCCTGGGGGAGGGGGGGGCCGCCACAGCACCTCTTCTCGACTACAAGGGAAGGGTCTGGGGGTGCACATCGGGGTGCGCGGGGTGGGGGGGCAGACCACGTGTTGAAAGGCTACACCGAAGATGGGCTGGGGGCGGGGTGAGCAGTGCAGAAAAGCCCCTGGCTACCGGAGACTCTCCCCCTGCACAAAAGCATCGACAGGTGCCCAGGGTGGGGGGTCTGCACTCTAGAGGGAGCGGAGAGTCCTAGCTCTAGGGGTGGAAGTGACCTCGGGGGCCATCTCATTTTACAGGTGGGGAAACTGAGGCCCAGGGATGGGTAGCACAGTCCCAAAGATGGTGGACATCTAAGTGAGCTCCGGACCCGAGGCCTCCGACTTCCTTCCTCCGCTGGAACATCGAGGCCCCAGCGAGCATTTATTAAGTACCTGCTGTGTGCCGGACGCTGTCTTCAAAGCGCTTTAAGGGCGGTGGGGGAGGGGACAGCTCCCTTCCCCCAGACCAGACCGTACCCCGTGCCCCGCCCCCAGGCTTCCCAGACGCAGCTCCCGGGGCAGCAAGGCGGGCCCCTCCAGCACCGGACAGGCACTGTCCCAGAGCACGGGGGCTAGCTACGTCTGGAGGTGGTGATCTCCCCTCCCGGGGCAGGGTGCAACGCTCACCTGGATGTCCAAGTCCTTCCCGGGCGCTCGGGGCGGAGCCGCCGCCGTCGCAGCCATGGCCAGCACCCCGACCATGGTCCCCGCCTCGGCTGCCGGGCCCTCAGGCGCGGGCGGGGCCCGGCCCCGAGCCGGCGCGCGCCGGTGCCATGACGTGCGGGGCCGGACCCGGGGGAGCGCGGGCCGCGGGAAGAGACCCCCGCAAAAAGGGCGCGGGCGCGGAACCCCCCAAGCCAGAAGCGGCGCGCGGGCGTCTCCCCCTCCCCCCGCCGGCGGGAGACCCTCGACAGTCTGGGCGCCGGGGCTGCGCTGGGGTCCGAACTGGGGGGGCGGGGGGAGGGTGCAAGCCGCAAGGGAGGCCAGAGCTCGGCGGGCAGAGATTCTTGTCAATTGGGTTTTCGCGCCGTCCGGGAGCGCCGGAAGCGAGGGCGGGGCATTCACGCAACGTCCGGGGACGGGGAAAGGACGGCGGCCCGCGAGGGCCACAAACCTGGCGCGGGGAACGCCGGCTAGCCTCGCCGTCAGTCAGCTTCGATCTCAGTCTCTAGGCTCAGGCGCCCGCTGCGGGGCTAGGGCAAAGGGAACCTGGAGCCAGCTGGCCCAACCCCCTCATTTAGAGAGGAGGAAACTGAGCCCCGAGGACTTACGTGCCTCTCCTATAGCAAGTGCCTGAGGCTGGAAGGAAGCCGGCCGGCTGCGGGGCGTGGGCCCGGAGACCCAGAGGGTCCAGCCTTCCACCCTGCCTGGCAGAGGGGCGGCTGCCGCCCGGGACCGTGTGGACCAGCTGCCAGCTCTCCTCTGTGAGCTCCCGTGGCTCCCTATTACCCCGGATCTATTGCAGGCCACTCTGTGTGGCATTTAAAACCCTTCCCAAGCTGGCCCCTCCCCACCTGTCTAGTCTTCGCAGTTTGGGGGGTGCTCGGACTGCAGCGATCTCCCTTAATTAGGAGCACGAATGTGGAGACATGGCTCGAGCTATTGCGGGAAGGGTCTCCAAGGCGCCAGGAGCTGGGTTTCAATCCCACCTGCAGACACTGGCTGTGACTTTCAAAGGCAACCAGGCTGCTGCTTTAAATAGGTCTCCAGATCCTTGAGAAGAGTCCTCGACCCTCAGCCCCTTCCCCTAATCCTTCTCCCCATGCCCTCGGGTGGTCAGGAAGGTCAGCCAGAGGCCTTAGGACTGAGGGGTCCATGAAGGATCCCTCTACAAATGTTTTACTCATTGTCTTTGTTGTTATAGAATGGATGTGTGGATTCTTCGTGAGATATTAAAAAGAAAGGATCAGCCAGACGGAAGGAAATCAAGATTTCTATCCTGTTACTATTTCAGAGCAATATTTCATTTTCTTTTTCTATACCCTGAGATCAGTATTGAATTGGGCGGTGCCCCCACATCAGGAGCTGTGTGTGCTGGGACTGGAAGAACTGGGAGACCCGTTGAAGAGTTTGAAGGCAAGTTATTTCTGTTAAGCTCACTGAAGCATTTGGGGAAGTCAGCTCACTGGAAGGCCTCTAATGAAATCAGCTGCCTGATAATAGTCAAATTATTATTTTAAATTTGTTTTAATTCTGAATATAAACAACAAATATATGCATCAGGAGACCAAAAAAAGGGATTCTCTATGAAACTGCAAATCTCCATTTCGTAAGCTTGCTTTTCTTTAAGCATATAATAAATTCCACAAGATATTTTCAAAACTGTCCTGCTTGTACCTCCATCTGAAGTGCACTTCCTTATGTTTTCATCTCTGCATTTAAAAAAAACTTTCCGTGGTCTTCTTATTTTTGGCATAATATTGCTAACCCTGCATTTATTCCCCAGATGAAAACAGAGAGAAAATGGAAGAATAGCAGGAAATGCAGTGAGCTGCCTAACCAAGTTCCTCCACAAAAATCTAGAAAATACACCAGAACAAATCCTAAACACAGGTCAAGAACGTGCCAGGCTCAGATAGGGGGAGAGTGATCTGACTTTGCCCTGGATCAAACTACTTTGGGAGTGCTCAAGAGTGTTTAGGTGCCCAGCCTGAGCTGCCCCTGAGATCCTAGAATAACCTAATACTCAATACTCCAAGAAAGCAGCAGCAGAACCCAAGAGGACACAGGCTTGGCCCAGACATTTCCTCCAGAATTGTGAGAGTTTGACCCTAACAAAGTCTAAAGTAAGGAAGTAGGCTGAAAGAATGATTGAACAAAAAAGAATCTTCCCATAAAAAGATATTAAGGTGAACAGAATGTTTAGGGAGCCAACCCAAAAGAAGATGATGGCTCTAACACAGGGGTGGGGAACCTGGGGCTTCAAGGCCACATGTGACCCTCTAAGTCCTCAAGTTGGGCCTTTTGACTGAATCCAGTCCCCACCCCTGCTCCAGAGCATCTATAAGAAAAAAAACATACCTTAGGCAAAAGTTCAACTATAATTCATGGGAAATATGAAGCAAAGTGGTTTTTTTTAAACAAATGTTTTTTGAAAGTGTTTTAAAATGTTTTTATAAATGAAATGAGAATGCCAGAGGGGGGAAAATGGAAAAAAAAGAACAATTCAAGAAAGAATCGGAAGGGGCATGAACAACTACACACAAGAGGTACAAAATCTTACTGAAGCAGCAAACTCCCTGAAAATTAGAATGAACATGAAACAACAAGAAATATCAAGACAAAGTCAAATGTTTGAAAAAATAGAAGAAAATATGTAAGACATCTCATAGCAAAAACAATTGACTTGGAAAACAGATTGATGAGAGATAATTTAAGAATCATTGAAACCTGAAAGACATAACCAAAGAAAAAGTCTAGAGATCAAATTTTGAGAAGTCGTAAAGGGGCAGCTAGGTGGCGCAGTGGATGATCTGGCCTTGGAATCAGGAGGACCTTGAGTTCAAATCCAGCCTCAGACACATAACACTAGCTGTGTGGCCCTGGGCAAGTCACTTAAGCCCACTGCCCCATTTAAAAAAAAAAACAAGAAATCATAAAAGAAAACTGCTCAGATCTATTAGATCAGGAGGACAAAGTGAAAATGGAACCCTCTGGTCACTTTATAAAAGAAACACCAAAAATGAAAATTTTCAGGAACACTATATCCAAAAATCTAGAATTTCCAGGTTAAAACAAAAATACTGCAAGCAACCAGAAAGAAAGAATTCAGATATTGAGGATTTATAGTCAGGAGTAGTAGCTACCACTAGAAGAGAATGAAGAGCTTGGAATTTGATGTTCCAGAAAGGAAAAGATATAGGCTTACAAACAAGAATAACTTACCCAGCAAAACATAATGCTACAGGGATAAAAATAGATCTTTAATGAAATGTAGTACTTCTAAGCAGTCTTGATGAAAAAATTGAGTTGTATAGGAAAAATACAAATACAGAAGTCAAGAGAAATGCAGAAAGATAAACATGAACAAGCAATCATAAAGAGACTAAATAAAGATGAACCTGAGACACTTGATGCGTACTAGCTATATGACCCTGGGCAAGTCACTTAACCCCGATTGCCTCACCAAAAAGCAAAAAAAAAAAAAACCAAACAAATAAACAAAAAAGATGAAGTGTTTACATTTTAATATAGGGAGATGATACATGTGTCCCATCAGAACTCTATTATCATCAAGGGCCATGGAATCTAAGAAGACAAAGAGCTTGGAAGAGGTTTCATTATGTTTTGATGATCTTAAAAGAAGAAAGGAAAGGGAAAAGGAATACACTGTGGAGGCAGAAGGATGGGGGAAAGAGAGAGAAAAAAGAAAGAAAATTATATAATCAGGATGCTAGAGTAGAAAACTATACAAACAAGGAGGAAGGGGTTGGAGGAAGTGGGTAACACTTGACCCTCACTCTTATCTGAACCGGGTAAAAGAAGGAAGAATATATACACACAGTTGGGTACAGAAATACATTTTACTGAGCAGGGTAACAGAAGAGAAAGGGGAGAAGGGAGAATAAGAAGACTGTTTTAAGAGAGGGATTAATCCTAACCAAAACAAACACTAAGGTGGGTGGAACAGGAAATGGGTTTGAAAAGAAAAGAAGGAAAGAATAAGAACCTGTGACTGGGCTCTGTGTGAAGGAAAGAGAAAAGGGGTAGGAGAACAGAAGAGTAAACCAAACCTAGGCCACTGGTGCTGAGCATGCTCCTCTTCTTTATAGGGGTGGGGTGTGTGGGAAACAAATCAAAAGAAAGATATAAAAGAATAGGATGGAAGGAAACACACAGTGATCCAAACTGCCAATGTGAATGGGATGAATTCACTCATAAAACCGAAGAGAATAGTAAAATGGATTAGAAAGCAGAATCCAACAATGTGTCGTACACAAGAAACATATTTGAAACAAAGATTCACACAGAGTTAAAATAAGCTGTTGGAGCAAAATCTGTTATGCTTGAGCTGAAGTAAAGATTTAGGAACTCTGATCAATCCAGTAACCAACTGCAGTTTCACAGGTCTGATGATGGAGTATGGTACTTACCTCCTGACAGAGAGGCGATGGATTCACAGTACGAATGTACATTTTGGATATGGCCAGTGTGATCATTTGTTTTGCTTTACTATCCGATATGTGTTACAAGACTTTTATTTTTCCTTTTTCATCAGCGGGGAGGAAAATGGGCAGAAGAGAAAATTAAGGTTTGCTAGTTGACAAAAAGTACACTAAAATAAAAATTACATAAAATAAAATAAACAAGTCACAGTGATAACTACTGTTATTCTCGGTTAAGAGACTTAGACTCATTAAAACCATCTAAATATGAACTTTGCAGAACCACTGTTTAGACATTTCACATTTCACCATGGTTCTACATTGCCTCCTTCAAAGTCCATGTGTTTAGGTAAGCTGGTGCGGGGACTTGGGTTCTTCTTGTCAGTGACTGACTTTTCAGAAACTTTTCTTGCTGCTGAGTGGAGTCAGCTCCACTTATTGGACCCAAGACCTCTGGATGTCTTGAACTTATAAGGTCTCCTCCAAACCTTGAAAATTATATACTACTCAGGAAAGTAAAGACAAAGTAAAACAAGCAGCCAGGCATACACTTACTATCTGTGTGACCCTGGGCAAGTCACTTAACCCCATTGCCTCCAAAAAAGAATAAAAAAGAAAGAAAGAAAAGGCAGCCAGGGACCAGATACAAGCTGACCTAGCTAAGACCGTGCTCCACATGCAAATGGTCAGGAGAAGAGGACAGCCTATTCCTCCAACCTGTTCTTGAGGTGTTTAGCACTCTATTTACTACATGGCATAATTAAAGCAGAGAACTTTTCTTTTATCTTCTTTTAATTCATGAAGCATTCTGTCTCACTGATAGCTACTATTATAGGGCAGAAGGATGACCTTTCAGGGTTTGCCGTGTCATACCAAAATTCCAAGTCCTTTCATCACTTCGTCACCAGGGAGTTCACCAACTTTAACACACCCAAATGCTGAGTCACACATGTGGCTGGCCAGAAGCAGGCAAAGCATATTTGTGTAGCTCTATACAACCTACATTATGCCAACAATTACCCAAACATGAAATGGAATGCCTTAGTGGGTGGTGATTGCCTGTCCGACCACCCAGTATCCAACTATCACATCCAGGTTCCTTGAAAATCTTTGAATTTACTGGCTATTCAATTACACCTCCAGATCCCCAAATTTTTCATCTTCATCTCCCCCAACTGGCCAAAATTGATTATATGTGATTAATTATATGTTATATTAACTATGTATTAATTATGTAGCAATGCAAAAGTACATATATTCAAAATAGAATGCAAGATACCTAAGAGATAAGAATCAAGGATAGAACTCTTATCACTCTCCCCAAGTTTCAGGGAGTATAGGTTGTGAGTTTTTATGACTCTGCTTCCTGAGTCAGCTTATCAGTGTGGCCTTGTAAATTAGCAGAACAAGAAAAAGAAGTTTGAGAATTTACTTGATCAGCCCTACCCATGCTACTGTATCAGTCATCTAGAGGAGGGTTGAAGGACATGACAAACTGGCCAGGTGACCAAATCCAGGAGCCTCCGGGCTTGCATGATACCACATCGAAATACCAGATGTGTGAAGTATTGAAGTCTTACAAATGCAATTTCTCAGGACTGAAATTGCAGATCAAATTGCAGGGGCAGGGAGGAGGGGGGGAATGTGTGCAGCTATTGCTTCTTGGTACAGAAGAAGGAAAACCTCTAGTTAGTAGGGGTAGGAATTAAGTATAGCTTTAGGGCAGCTTCCTGGCTTCACATGTTTTCTCCTCTTACTCTTCCAGCCTACTCAGATCTTCCCACCTTCCATCTCTCTCATAAAAGACAACAGACATGGCAAGCAACAAAAAATATTACAAAAAAAAACAAAATTACAGATGACCAGTTATCAATGTAGGAATTATTTCTGAATTGTTAGCACAATGATAAAAAAAAGCAATGTCAAATTAGAATAAAGAATAAAAATCAGAAGATGCGGGTGTGCAAATCAACCAATCAAAAAACATTTATTAAGTACCTGCTATGAGTCAGGCACTGTGCTAAGCCCTGGGGATTCAAAAAGAGAAAAGATAATCCTCACCCTCAGGGAGCTTACAATCTAATAGGGGAGATAACTAGCAAATATATACAATGGAGGCTGTACACAGGATTAATAGGAAATAATTAACAGAGGAAAGGCACTAGAATTAAGAGGAATTGGGGAAGGCTTCTACTAAAAGATAGAATTTTAGTTGGGACTTAAAGGAAGCCAGAGAGGTCAGTAGTCAGAGTAGAGAAGGGAAGACATTCCAGGCATGGGGAACAGCCAGAAAAAATGCCTGGAACCAAGAGATGGAATGTTTTGTTTGTGGAACCAGGAGGCCAGTGTCACTGAATCCAAGAGTACATGGTGGGGAATCGGGTATAAGAGACTGGAACGGTAGAGGATTTGATCCTGGAGGCAATAGGGAGCCACTAGAATTTATTGCGTAGGGGAGTGACATTATCTGACCCTCGATTTAGGAGAATTATTTGAGTGGCTAAATGGAGGGTGGGTTGGAGTAGGGAGAAAGTAGAGGCAGGCAGATGCCCTAGCAGCCTAGTTTGATAGGCTCAGAGTGAGGTGATGAGGGCCTGTTCTAGAGTAGTAACTATGTAAGAAGAGAGAGAAGTCAGTGTATATAAGAGATGTTGCAAAGGTGAAATCAACAGGCCTTGGCACTAGATTGGACATGGGGGATGAGGGAGAGTGAAAAGTTAATGATGACTTAGCCTACTCAGCCTACGTTGTGAGCTTGAAGGACTGGGAGGATGGTGTTGCTCTCTGCAGTAATAAAGAAGATGGTGGAGGAAGGTTTTAGGGGGCAAGACAATGAGTTCTCTTTTAGACATGTTGAGTTTAAGATATCTGCTGGACATCCAGTTTGAGATGTTTGAAAGGTAGTTGGAGATGGGAAATAAGAAATCAGCCAAGAGGTTGGGGCAGAATAGGTAGCTTTGAGAATGATCAGCATAGAGATGGTGATTAAATCAATGGGAGCTGATAAGGTCACCAAGTAAAGTAGTATAGAGGGAGCAGAGAATCGGGCCCAAGACCAAACCGTGGGGGACGCCTACCATTAGAAGGTGTGTTCTGGACGAGGATCCAGCAAAGGAGACAGAGAAGGAGGGGCCAGATAGATAGGAGGAGAGAGTTGTATCACAATAAC